TGTAATAGGTTTGTCCTGTATTTTCATCTCATGAAATATTTAATTGGCTTAGAAGGTTATTGCTCCTAAACATCAACAAATTCTATCTCTTTCAAAGATAAGGTTAACTAGTTATTGTACTACATACTTATCAGTACTTTTTTTTTTCTTGGTAAATTACTTGACATTGCTTTAATCTAGTAGAACCAAACATTATCTTTTGGCTTTTTTCTCTAATGTAATTGACTTAAAGCAATGTTCTAATTATTAATAAATTGGTAGAACGCACATCATTCACTACAGTAGCAAAGCCAAACACTTTCTTGTGCATTTTTATATTTTGTTAAGTAAAATAAAAATTACACTGCTTTCATGCTTAAAATAACCAAAACATCCAACACTAAAATTTTGCTCGGTAATCCAGGAGTTGTGCATTGACAAATCATGACTATATAAATGTAGTTTCACTTGATCGTGAAGACATGATCACCACCATAAGCAAACACAGTCAAGAATGCATTATAATGACCAATAAGGAGACTGTCCCTCCCCCAGTTTCCTTCTGTTGTTTCAAAAGAAAATCTCTTATCTTTCTATGTATGTTGTGTTCAAAACCATGCAGGAAATTGATAGGAGCAAGGTTCTTCAAAAATGGTTTTGAGTCAAAATTTGGCAAACTTAACACATCCTTTTACACAGCAAGGGACATATTAGGCCACGGCACCCCAACTTTGTCAATTGCTGGAGGTAATTTTGTTCCAAGAGCAAATGTTTTTGGCTATGGTAATGGCACTGCCAAGGGTGGCTCCCCTAGAGCCCATGTTGCAGCCTACAAGGTGTGCTGGCTTGGGACCATTGAGGTTGAATGCACTGATGCAGATATCATACAAGCTTTTGAGGCTGCTATAAGTGATGGAGTTGATGTAATTTCTTGTTCCCTAGGGAAGCCTACTCCTCCTGAATTTTTTGAAGACGGGATTTCTATAGGAGCTTTCCATGCAATTGCCAATGGTATAATAGTAGTTACTGGTGGAGGCAATTCAGGACCAGCACCTAGAACTGCAACTAATGTGGCACCATGGATTTTCAGTGTTGGTGCTAGCACAATTGACAGAGACTTTGCCAATTATCTAGCACTTGGTAACAAGAAGCACATGATGGTATCATTTTTGTTTTTTGGTTTGTTCCATTCCAGTTTAAGTTCATAATTGAGTGTAATAAGTTCAGTGTGTTCAAACCACGTCTAACTTTGCTCCAAAATAAAATAAACATTACAGAATTTTCTTGAAAAATGTTAAATTGAGTTTAAGTAACTAATAATTGTAAGATTTTATTTTTAAAATAATATTTATTATAATTTTATAACTTTAATATATAAATATTTTCTTTTTTAATAGAAATTTTCTACTTTTAGATGCTTAAACTCAACCTTTTTTTAAAATTTGGACTGCCAGGGAGCTAGTCTTTCTACAGGCTTGCCATCTGAGAAGTTCTATTCTTTGATCAGTTCTGTGGATGCTAAAGTTTCTAATGCAACAATTGAAGATGCGTAAGTTCAAAAATTACCAAGAGGCACATCGATATGTCTAGTTTGCATGATTATTGTTCTTGGTATATTAGTTTTTCATTATTTCTTGCAGTCAACTTTGTAAGGTTGGAACTCTTGATCCTAAGAAGGCCAAGGGGAAAATCCTGGTTTGCCTCCTAAAGGAGCGTGATGGAATAATTTATGCAGAAGAGGGAGCTCTTTCTACAGGTGCAGTAGGACTAATTTTGGCAAATAATAAGCAACTTGGTAATGACATTGTGCCATTTCCTCATTTGCTTGCTACTTCACACATAAACTACACAGATGGTGAATATATTTATTCCTATATCAAAGGCACCAAGTAATGTATCGTTCTCTAGACAACAATTCTTTTTAGATTCAAAAATGCCAAAAATTGCTTCTAGATTCTACTGTTCTAACAACTAATTAATCAATATATATCTATATATGTATTATATTGCAGGACGCCCATGGCTTACATGACTAGAGCAAAAACTCTATTTGGACTAAAACCAACTCCAATAATTGCTTCATTGTCATCTAGGGGACCTAACCTCATCCAACCAACAATCCTAAAGGTTTGCTCTGTTTCATCACCAACTTTACCATTAGTACATTCAATCACTCCTGAATTTGTTCCCTTCAAATCTAAACATAACTTTCTAATTACTGCTTCTACTTTCATTTTCAGCCTGACATCACAGCACCAGGTGTGGACATTCTTTATGCATGGCCAGAAGCCTTAACTCTAACTGGTTTTGCGTCAGATAATCGCCGGATTCAATATAATATAGGATCAGGAACTTCTGTATCTTGCCCTCATGTTTCTGGCATCATTGGCCTTCTCAAAAGACTCTATCCCAATTGGAGTCCAGCAGCCTTAAAATCTGCAATCATGACCACTGGTATATATATATTAGACATACCGCAAAAATCTTGTCCTACAAAGCAGTTATGTTATGAACAAAACTTATATGCTATTTTTTAAGTGTTGTTTATCAAATAAAATTAGAGTTTTATTTTAATGTTATTGCAGATTATTGAGGTAAAACTCTAAGTTTGATTAATAAACAATACTTGAGAAACTGAACATAAGTTTTGTCGTTCTGTTATTCCTACACATGAGACCTTCGATCCATACACATGTTAATGATATGTAAATTACTAACTAATAATACATATATAGATTGGTTATTGACTTATGAACTGATAAGGTAGGAACAAATTACTATTATTTCAATTATCAATCCACACACACTATTAATCAATTATATACAAATGGTTAACACTTCCCGTGTGTATGAGACATATAGAATCTTAGAGATGAATGAAACCTTTCCCACTTATTTTTCTCAACAAAATTTATAATCTTTCAGCAATGACATTGGATGACAACAACAAACCAATTATGGATCAATCCAAGGAAGAGGCAACACCATTTGCTTATGGTGCAGGACACATTCAACCAGAACTAGCGATGGACCCTGCCCTTGTATATGATCTAAACACTGTTGATTACTTAAACTTCCTTTGTGCTCATGGTTACAACCAAACACAAATTAGGATGTTTTCCAGAAAATCCCATAATTGTCCAAAATCATACAACATATATGATTTTAACTACCCTTCAATCACAGTACCTAATCTTGGGAAACACTCTATTGAAGTTACTCGTACAGTTACAAATGTTGGGTCACTAGGTACATATCATGCGCATGTCAAGGCACCTAATGGAGTTTCAGTTTTGGTTGAGCCAAGATCTTTGACATTTCGTAAAGTTGGTGAAAAGAAAAAATTCAAGGTCATATTGACGGGCTCAAAGGTAAGCAAAACTGCATCAGGGTATGTGTTTGGAGAATTGTGGTGGTTAGATGGCAAGCACAAAGTTAAGAGTTCTCTTGTAGTGAAGCATAACTAGAAGATGCATTAAAATTACGGTAAGAAAGTAGTTTGGTATGGTTCATTTCTATAGGAAAATATCCAAATTAATCTATGGATAAAATGTGGATATATTTCATTGCAATGAAATAACATATATGGGCTCAACTTTCTGCCTTTGTAAGAATTATGATTATTTATGTATTGAACTACGTTTAAAGATTATATATATAAGAATCTCTTTCATATCATATCATTTATAAGAATCTATTGTATAGATTTTGTTTGTTAGTCCTTCGAATTTCGATTTTATCTTTATATATTCAAATCAAGGCTAAATTCACACGAAAAATATGCTAACATTCAAAATATAGGAGTTGTCACGCAATATGATGTTTATTCGAATATAAGTTTATTTTCATATCAAGGTTAAATTCATAGGAAAAAGGGGTTAATATTCAAAATATATGAATAATAACAGACCAAAAATTGTCACGATGTTAATTTGAATATATTTTTTTTATAATTATTTGAATATAAATTTATTTACAAACAAGTTTATAGTTTTCATTAATAAATTAATATTTAGCCCATTTTAAAACCTTATTCATAGCTAGTCACAAGAAAAAAAGAAAAAAAAAAGAATCAAAGCTAGCTTTTCTTATAAATAAAAGAATATCTTGAAAATATGATAATTTGTTTTTAATTGTTGATGTGTGATTTTGATTTTTTTAATATTCAAATTTAAGTCTTCTACTTTTTAATTGTTACAATTAAGAGCATGTTTGATTTCTCTTTCAAAAAGATTTTTTTTTTCTAAATATAGTATAAATTTATACTATATTTAAAAAAAATAAAAAAATATTTTTGAAAGAGAAATCAAACATACCCCCTAAGTCTTTTAATTTTTAATAACTATAATTAAGTCATTTTACTAAGTTTCTTTCTCAAATTTTTCTCTTGAAATCATGACTTTAACACATTGAATTATTTTAAACTTTCTTCCGATCAAAATTTATCGACCAGAATGTCATATTTTACTTTAAATTTGTACTTTACTATATTATGTCATATTATTATAAGTCAATAAATACAATTTTCAAGACTAAAAAACATATATTTTAATTTTTTTTAAAAAATTATTTGATAAAGATTAGATAAAAAATACTAAAATAAAAATAAAATAATTTTTATCTCTTATTATCTATACTTTAAATCAAATAAAATAAAGATAATTTTGTGATCTTATGACATATTAATTTAATTATATAAATTATTTTTATTTACTTCACACTTTTTATATATTTTATTGATCCGTCACTATTTATATTTTGCCAGTTTATTTTATTTTCAAATATAAAAAACCTCCATTCAAATCCTTGGAATCATCACAAAATTAAATAAAAAAAAACATCAGAATTTTTGTTTACATTAAAAGAAACAAAAATAATAGAGGCATAATGGTAAATGAAAACTTTTAAGCAACCAAAAAATAATAATAACTACAAAGATAAAAGGACAAAAATAGCCTCACAAAACATAAAAAAGACACGGAGTTGTCCTATAAAATCCTAGTTTCCAACATTGAAACAGTAAGATACTGAAACTACCTCAAACCCTATTTCCCATTTGCAACAGTTCTCAGGACGCCGCCGTTGTCGACGCCGCCGCCACAACCGCAGTCGCGTCATTCGCTTCGACCACAGCTGTTGCGTCTTCAACTCGTTTCCATCTGGTATGCTATTTACCAGCGCATAGTTCTGTTCTTTCTCATGGATTGTGAATTTGCTGTGATTGAAAACAGGGGATACAACACATTGTGAAATATGTTTTCATAATTTCATCACAATTTTACATGTATTATGTTTTCTCCCGTTCAATTTATTTATTCGCTGTTTGTTTGTTAAAACATTTTCTATTCACTTAATTTTTTATTGATTATTCACGCAGTTTGCTATAATCTCGCTTAAATCTGTGTTTAACCATTATTAAAGCGTATGTTAAAGTATGAATTCCGTTTTAGTTTTTCATCAGAAATTGTGCAGGAAGAGGAAGTATGAGGACTTTGTGTTTAATGTGTGGCTCTTAATTTTAGTGTAAATAAGTGTAATTGTCCTTTAGCGTTTTCTTAATGAAGATTAATGCGATAAGTTGAGGAGGGTTGAATCACCTGAAAATTGTTTTGTTCTTGCAAGTCTGGATTTAGGTTCCATTTTGAATTTCTCTGTTCTTCATAGTTTATCAATGGCATGAAATAGCAGTGCGGTGCCTGTAGCGATTTAACGTAGTGGTAATTGCAGAGCAGCCATTATCCCAGAAAATCGTAGCCATCTCATTCATCTGTTTTTTGGGGTTGTGATGTCAGTTTTCATTTGAAACATAAAGCTTAGGGCATGAGACATACTTTGTTTCAGTCTTCATTTTTTGGGCTGGGCTGTACTATCTAGAATTGATAACCATATTGTCCATATCTGGAATTGCTTTGGCTTATTTACATTTAACACTTCTGTTTAAACTTCAATTTTCAGTTGTTCTTGAAACAGTTACACAATGCAGTCCAACGCATCTTCATCCATGGAAGTTGAAACCGTGCCTTCTGAGGCTAAAACTTTGCCACCAAAGCCAAAGTTTGAGCCTTTGAAACCTCATGAGATGTCTGATGGTCAGGTTCAGTTCCGCAAAGTGAATGTCCCCCCACATCGTTATACCCCTCTCAAGAAAGCTTGGATGGACATCTATACTCCCATATATGAACAGATGAAAATTGACATTCGAATGAATTTGAAGGCTAGGAAAGTTGAACTGAAGACAAGGCCTGATACACCTGATATCAGTAACCTGCAAAAATGTGCTGATTTTGTCCATGCTTTCATGCTGGGTTTTGATGTCATAGATGCCATTGCTCTTCTGCGTTTGGATGAGCTCTATATTGAGTCCTTTGAGATCAAGGATGTCAAAACACTTCGAGGTGATCACTTATCCCGTGCTATTGGAAGGTTATCTGGTAAAGGTGGCAAAACAAAGTTTGCAATTGAGAATGCGTCGAAGACAAGAATCGTGATTGCTGACACCAAAATTCACATATTGGGATCTTTTTCCAACATTAAAATTGCCAGGGATTCTCTTTGTAGCCTTATTCTGGGATCACCTGCTGGAAAGGTGTACTCAAAACTAAGAGCAGTTACTGCCAGATTGGCAGAAAGGTTTTGATCTTCGCATTACAGGATTTTTCTAAATTTCTGAGACCAAATTCGATGCGGATGAGTTTTAAGCTATTTGATACGTGTAGAGTAGAGTGTTATTTATGAATGTTTACTGATTGATTGTTCCAGGAAAAAACGATTATGTATCAGTTTTGCAGTGTGTGTAGATCATCGGTCAATAGACGAACAATTATTGTCGCTGCCTTTTTCTGTTCTGGTCTTGAATATTAGTATTTAGTTTTATTTTCTTTTGAACATACTTTTATAATTTATCAATATTTTTAAAAGTCAAATTACTTATCTTGTAAATTGATAACTTTTTATTAATTGTTGAGTTTTTAATTAACTGACTAATCACAAATATTGTATTAAAAAAATATTTAAAGTAATGTGTTTTCATTTCTTTTTTTAATTACCTGTTCAACCAATCTTTGCTCCCAAACAACCAATACTTGTAAAACAAGTAATTTCTATTTGTTAGACATTCTAGAACGGGGATGAAGGATAGTATATGGGTTTTGCTTAACTTTTGGTGTATTTGAAACATTCTAGCATCTTATTAATAGAGAATAAGATGCTAAACAGGTTCTACATTTTACAAATACTTAAAACATCAACTAACAACATTTAATACTAATATAAATGTTAAGCCGTCCTTAAAGAATTTTGAAGAGCATACGAGAGAATGTAGTGCATTTTTTTTTTATAACATTAAGAATATCAAATGATATTATTTAAGTTTTATAATTAGCATTATTTAGTTTTTTTCTTTTTTACTTATATTTGAGGTGGGAGGGAGTATATGGTTAAAAACTTGTGCATTTGATTTCACCAAGTGGAATCAAAGAACAGAATCCACCGACTGCACAAAAAATTTTGCAATTCAGTACGATACGTGGACGTTATGTACTAAAAAACGAAGGTATTGGAGGCATGTTATTTATCGGGGTGCTCCAATTATCGTTATAGGCATAAAGCATATCTCAGTTGAGAATTTTATTGAAATTAATGATTTTTTTTATCAATATAAATCTTGATCAATATTTTGTAATATTTCTTTTCCAATGTAAGATTAAAAATAAGAAAGAATGCTGAAAGGAAGAATCTCTTTAGTTAAGTATGAAAAAAAAATGATTGAAAATTAGTATGTTTGAAAACCTTTGATAATCATATTAAATTATGTTGTAACATGAAAACTAAAACTTTTAACGTTAGAATAGATCCTTATTTAAGTTAATTTATCACCAACTCAAACACGTCATTAGTACTATCATAAGAACTGATAGAGATGGGGAAAAACACTTGCAGTTCATAGCTCTTCTTTAGTTAATAGTTCTTCTCTGTTCAGTACATATTTAACGGTGTTTTTGTTTTAAAGGAAATAGAAATCATTTAAATTATAAGGCATGTAATGCATTAATTTTGTACATTCTCTTGGTTTAATACCGGTGATATACAGGATTGAGATGGCATGATTTCAATGAGTCTCACTAAAAATTCCCTTGCTTTTTGAGGCAGAAAATGCAGTCATTCATGGCTGCAGTTTCTTTCTTCTTTTTTTTTCATTTTATTTAATCGTTTAAAAATAATAAGTATTATTATATAACTAAAAAATAATAAAAACTTACATTCAGATAAAAAAAAGTTATAAAAAGTGTAAATTTTTTGAAGTTAAATTTATTCTTCACATTATTATAAAAAGTATTTTCTATGCTATGATTTATTCTCCTTTTTTTTTTCACTTTTTTCCTTTCAATTTCTATTTATCCAAATTATACATTATTTCTACTCTAGTTTCTTTTTATTTACATATTTTTGGCTCCATCCTTGCCAATTGAGCCATGTTAGTTGTGATCATGCATATCCTAAAATCTAAACAAAATTTCTTCAAGCTTTAAAAGTTACACAACACAAATTGAGTAACAACAGATTGGTTTTCAATTAAATAGAAACATTCCTTATAGTATGAACAATGCAGAATAAATGCCATTAGGTCTATAATTTAGTTTTTAGAAATTGTAATTGAATTGGATAAAAATAAAAAGCATTCCAAGTAATAAATCAATCGTTTCCAATAACAAATGTTATTTTCAGCCCCCAAAAAGAAACGCAGCTGCTTGTTCCTCATTGCCATTGAATAATTGAAGAGCTTGTATAATTGCATTTCTTTCAAATCCCAACTCAACAAGCTTTGCAACTTTGGCTTCAAAATCAGAATCCTACAACCATACAAGACAACATCAGAAAACCTAAACAGTGAAATCAGTAGTCATCAAAGACGATCACAAGAAATCAAATATGATCCAACCGTAAATTAAGCAAAGTTTAACACTTTAAAACTAGCATGCAGTTTTAACTAAAAAGATTGAGACACTATTTTTGCCTTATTGTCAACAACTCTAAAAAAGCATATTGTTAATTACATTTTTTGCCTTATTGTTCATCATGTTCTTGAGGTGCTACGTAGTGCACACTCTACATTTTGCATTATACACCATTGACCAACATTATATAATAAATACTTCCCATTGTGAGTAAATCCTCTACTTGTTCCTCCAAAAGATTAGAGTCATCATTCAAAGATTTTTTTTACCAAATTAATCTTTCAAAATACAATGCAATTTCCAAATGTGTCTTAGTGTCACTACTTTAAACATCTATAAGGACAAATATGGTTGATATTTAAAGGAATAATTTGGTTAAAAGAGAAAAAAAAAAACTTTAGAAGACTACTTTAATAACACGTCAATCTTTAGAGAACCACAGAGAGGGTTTACTTAAAATTTATTCCACCACTGCAGAGGAATGAAAGCTAATAAAAGTACAAAGCTGAAACAGTTGCTGATACTTGAAAGCATACCTTAGGCCTGTCACCAGCAGCTCCACCTGAAAAATAAGTAAAAATTAAGTTATGTTACTAACATTGGCTCTATTGATTTGTTTAGAAAATATGAAATTTGATATGGGAAGTAAAATAAAATTGTATGGCCAACTACTAAATAAATTACCACCTCATTAACATTGCATAAAAGTAAGGGTAACCAACACTACACTGGTAAAGAGTAATTACTATCAAGATAAAATTGCAAGCTTAAAAAAACTGTTTTGGGTGGAATTTTGATGGAAAACTAGCCAATTGAACTCCAAAATAGGACAAACACAAAAATGACTTTTTCTGCATATTTTAAGCCCAAAAGAGCACGTGTTAGACAATCTCCAGAACTAACCAGAAGACTGGCCTCCTATGGATGGATTATTGCTCCCTGATGTAACCTGAGGGTATAAAAAGCAACACAAAGCAACTGTCACTGTCTTCATCAAAATGAAGCGACCAAGCAAATCATAAATGCCACAGTAATTTATGACAACGTATCATTGATTACATCTTTTTCTTCATTCATTGTAAAGAGAATATGGTTATCATGGGCACCCGACAATTGTAATTGAATATTTGAACCTCCAATTCTCCATAACAGTGTTTTCAGTTCACATTCTCAATAGGATGATCTGGCATCACATCTCCTTGTATGTGAATTGTGAAGCTTAAGCTAATAAGAATGTGCATACCATTTCCATAAACAAAGAAATCTGTACTTACCCACCATAGATCTATCACTGAGTAACAATCAAAAGCAATAGTCAAAAAGGAATAGCCAATTGAAGATCAAATTAGGAAAATCATATGCAAGGAAATATGTCTTGCTTTCAACCACTGAATAGTCAATGATCAACATAAAATTTATGAAGTGCCATTCTTGCTCATATGGAAAAAAAAGGAAAAGGAAAACGATAATGACGGCCAAAATCCTAATCCTATTTATTTAATATCTCTCCTTTTGAATGCAGGGGGAAAAAATTGAAGGTTGCTACTGAACACATTGGTCTGGAAACCAAGATATAAACCCAGCAGTAGGATATTTATGTCCCCTCATTTATACTATGGGACATCGATAACATAATTATCAAAAGATTAAGAACAACGACAGCATTCCATATTTAGAAGCAGATTAAAGCATTACAGTCTCAAGACAGTTGCTATAAGAAAAGCTTGTAATTAAAAGTCCACTTACTTGACCGCCAGAGCTTGAAGCTTCCTTAGCATACTTTTCCTCATCTAAATACCGAGAAGGTATGTCTTTCTCTGAACATGACAACCAAGAAGGTTACATATATATATATATATATATATAAAATCTGTGCTGGATTGAGTTGAAAAGAGAACTATGCAACTTGAATGGAGAAAATATTATCTTTATTAGTTATTACAAATTCACAGATTAGAAAACCAACCTTGCAAAAATGGCACAGACACTTCTCCTCCACCAACTCGCAAAACATTTTCTTTCAAATCAATTATACACTGCAGACATGACCCACACACATAAGAATAGCAGCTTAGAGAAAATACCGAAAGCAATGATATCCAAGAGTGCAACTGAGGATGATACCTGGTGCTTTCGTAGCATATCCAGCCCAAAGAGAAACTCCATATTGGGAGAATCCAGCACCAAGAATGAGCAAGGGTAAAATATACTCCCAATCTAAAGAAAAATACAGTCATAAAATAGAAATTGAAGTGAAACATAAAATGGACCAAAAAAATATACTGTAAGAGAGGCCAGTCATTTTAATGCAAATTAAAATAAATTAATCTCAAATGATTATATTGGAATTGGAATGATCCTTTCATAAAACATCCTTTTATCAGTGACATATGAGGACTGAGGAGGTATCTTCAAAACAATAATATACAAAAGTGACCCCCAGAAGACACTAGATACAAGAAAACCAAGAGAGACGGAGACCTGCACAATGCCCATGACTAAATTGCAACTCATTTCTCCAATCATTTCACCCTTATGAAAAACACATGAAAATGAATGGCACAAAACAGTCACATGAAAGGAAGCACCAGAGAGAGATAACTACCAACATTAAGTTTAAATCACAAACAATAAAGATCCTTCTCAGCAATATGTCAATACAATCTGAATCAAAAAGTAATATCAGACAATAGCTTTATACATTTCTGTTAACTTTGTTGCCTACTGTTATAAGAAAAAGTACAATAACCAAATATAATTGATCTTCCAAAATTTAGACCTCTATACATACAAAAGTATTAAACATGTTATCATTGTCAACCAATACCAGCAAGCAATAAGATACGACTTCAGCAACACAATTCTATCCATATGACAAGTTAAAAACATTACCTTGATTGGAGCAACATGTATTCGACCCAATATTTCCGACTGGCCAACTCCATGAGCAATTCCTTTGTAACGCTGATCCAGAAGTCTCAACAATCTGGAAGATAACATGACATTAAAAAAATCCTCACAGTTTAAAATCTGGCAAATTACAAAACTGTTATGTAGAAATTCAAGAGAATAACCATTCATTCAAAACCATCCCCCCCCCCCCTATGTTTATCTAACAATTTCCTCCTTTTCCCACTCTTTCAAAAGTAGGCTAGGTTTTACAGCTCTTTATGATTCAAATTCCCCAATCTGCCCCTTACATTGTCTTCAAAGCAACAATGCATATGAGGCCTAACACAATTCATTATAACAGTGTTAAGATGTCCTATATTGGGTAAAACTAGAGAAAGAAAATGATAGTAATAATAAAAGCTTTGGAAGGGTATATGCGAGAAAGAGAAATAGGGTGGGACCAGGGAATCACTCCCTTGTTATGCAGTGAATTTATGCGTATGTGCACTAACTGTCAGGAGAGAGAAAATAAATCCGGATATATTGTGGGGTAACGAGAGTGAGAGGGACAGAGTACTGTGGGAAGTAATTCCATTTGGGAGGCCCTGAGCACCTCGAATAGCTCAAGATAGTTTACTGTGCATTCTTCTTTTCTGCTGTATTTGCGGTGAATCATACTGATTCATCTTTATTTTCGTGCAATACTACATATTTCAGTACACTGCATTCGTTGTACTTATTTTTCCTGTCATATCACATTGATTCTTATCAGAAAACTCCTTAAAATGGCTTGAATAATCCTCCGAGTGAGCTAGTTTTTGGAAGTGAGTTAGGCCCAAGTTTCTTAATATGATATCAAAGTCTATCCAATCCTCCTTATAAAATTCAGTGTCTCTTAGCACAATAACCTTCAATTTTTCTCGTTTAGATTCAAGAAACACTAATCTTCCCCAAAGTCATTCATGAACTTGCACCTACTGCCAGTATTTTTTTAATTGCATAATGCAGAAAGCTTAACAAACGTCAGACTCAAACCATATTTTAAGTTCTCATGTATGCAGCATCTAGACAAATATAAGATTGTATATAATATTTATTACATTCCTGCACTCTTTTTTTCATTTTTCCAAACTAGCTGGCTTGTGTATAATTTACATAATGAGCATAATATTGATACACGAGCAACTAAGATGAATTTTACTTCCTCAATTGAATATCTATCTAGATATGTACAAGTAGAGTAAATCCATCGGTAATCAAATGAGCTAACTAATAAATTCAATCATATCATAGAATTATAGATTGTCTTTGAAGCAAATTCCAGTAAAACCAATGTTACATACCCACAACGGTCAGCACAGCTTTTTGATATAATGGTAGACTGGGCTCCACTATCAACAAATGCCTGAAAACAAGCGAGAATTCAATTGATGCATGTCCATTACAAACCCACCGTCATTGAAGAGGGAAAGAAAAACAACAACAGTAAGCATGCACTACCAAATTAAGTCAACAGTAGACACTATTAGTCCCTCACAGCTTGAGGAATAGAAGAGCAGTCTAGTCATGGACAAATAGAAAGCAGGGGAACTAAAAGAAAAATAATGCCTATAATATGTATCCTTGTAAATTCTTGAACATGAAGAAGGATGCACTTGTGACAAAACACTCACCTTCAGTGCGACACCATTAACCTCCATATCAACATACAACATGACCTGAATTATTACATAAAAGCTTGAATTTAATATCACAAACAAAAAATTAATTACCATGAAAGACAAATGTTAAAAATCATACATACCACTCTAGCAAAAGCTTCAGGATTATGTTCTATTGCAGCTGCCCAATTTTCATCAATCCCTTTCTGTAAAATTAGTCAGTGCTATTATTCATAGAAAAACAAACGTGATATTGTCAATCAAGAAAGGCAGATATTAATACATGATCATGATTACAAACAGTAGCTTTTGAGGACAAATAATAGGTTGGATGTAGATCTAATAGAAACTGAGAATGACTAAATATTTGTGTTCTGAGCTCAGCACAAACAAGCACACATTTACAAAAGCTGCCAAAATTTATTTGATTAGGCAACATTAGCATTTAGCCAAGAACAAATTTAGCATAAAAACAAACTTTGAACTAGTTAACTAAAGGAAATAATAGCTTTCTTTTTTTCTTTCTTTTGCAACTTCCTAAGAGAGCTTTTAAAAAACAAGCAATTATGTGTCCATATTTAAGCTAAACTAAGTGTGTACTTAATCACAAATAAAATAAACACATACATGGAAGTCCCTGGAAAATTCAAAACACTAAGGAAACAGATGCCTTATCATTGGAGTAAATGTATCACGAGTTTTATAGGAACTTGTAAAACTTCTCACATAAATCATAACTTTAACATAATCTTAACTATGACACTATCACAAATCAACTTTCCTAAAAGCTTGAGCTGTTAGGTCAAGTTCCAATAATGATTATTATCTCTAATACAACCACTCATGCTTTAACTTTGAACAAATAGGGGCAAGGAGCAAATTCATGACTAGAGGTCCATTAATTGTTTTTATCTCTAACCAAGCAAAAAATACTAACCTGGCGGATGGCAGCTTCAATCTTCTTTTGTGCTTCAACATCAAAAGGATCAGCATAAAGAAGAGCCTAGAAAAAAGAAATCAAATAAATTGTTGAGCAAAATACACTAACAAAGTAATGGCAGAGAAAAATGAATAAAAATGAACTCCAAGGGATTAGAAGAAAGGCATCTTGTCATGATACAATTGAACTCAATCTCTTGACAGATGTAAAGAAACAATAGCCATCATAAAACCCACTTACAAGCTCCTCTTCTTTCTGACGCCGTAATTCATCTCTTTGGTGATGACGCAAACGCAAAATTTCCTGCAATTTATTAAGATCGTTCCCTAAAATAGCTTGTGCCAACTCTGGATCACTCTGTAAGTTCCATTACAAATACGGTCATAATATGGCCAATCACATGCAAAAATAACAAGGTATAAGCTACCATAGATAGAAAGTGATTAAAACTATTTAAATTATATCAAATAATTTGAAATTGAAATATATTTACACATAAACTGCTAAAAAATAAGAAAGTTCAATAATTTTATTAAGCTTAATAGTACCATATCATGTATATACTTCAGATCTTGATAAACAAATTGAGTGTTAAGTAACAAAACAAACATCAAGTCACCTGAAAGAGCTGACCCATCAAATTAGAATCACGTCTAATGTGCTGCTGGAAAGCACCAGGGTTGACAGCAGACCCATCAGCATTTAAGCTCAAATCATTGTTAGATCCGCTGAAATAATTTAAGTTTATTACAAAAGGCATACCATGTTATTGATAGTTTATATTTCAATGAAACAAAAGTTGATGTATAGTATATATAAAGGTTAAAGTCAAGAGACATGCATCATAAGTCGAAGACCCAGCAAATCTATAGAATGCAATGGCTTCTCTCTTTGTTCTTTTACTATTTTCACAATCAAATCACATGAATGGTGAGCAAAGGAGAGAAATAAATCAAATTATAGTGTCCATTCTCAAAGACTGGTAACTCAATTTTCAAGTGTTACCCACTAAAATCATCCAAACTTCCACTACCTAATTTGCAGAAGTAGCACTAGACTTTCTTACTTATGCATATTCTCTACAGTTTCTTTTTACAAATGGCACTCAATTTAGCTTCAGTTATTTAACAAAGCATTTGTGAGCAAAATGTTAGGTCAGAAACATGATCAGACTGTTATCAAAATGGATGGTGCATGGAGTAAGCTGAGCTACCACCCAAATTTTATCCCATCACAATATGAATTGTCGGAGACTCAACAAATTATATCACAAAATATCAACTCATTTCACCACAGAATAATAAACAAGCCACAGAGAATCTCAGTATTCTTTAACTTCTAAATTTCTAGCATGTAATAGTTCATACTTAACCCCTAAGAACAACTAAACCACATGCTGGCATTCCTACTGTCTCGATACTTTTGGACGGCAGCATAAACAAGACGGGGAAATCTACAAGTTATAGAGGTTTCACAGCTTATCATAACAATACATTGTAACGTGAAAAGGCATACCTAGAAGCAGCAGCACCAGAGACCATCATGAGCAAATCATCATCCTTAACACCAAGGGCACTCAACTTCTCAGAATTCCTCACTTCCCTCCCATTAAACAGAAGCTGCTGTTGCTGAAGAGGCACACTTGTCTTCTCACAAGCACAGCATCAAAAACACAAAAAGAAATCCAATCATACAACTAAAATCAAATAAGATCCAACATCTCATGCACCCACCCCTCACATGTCATCTCAAATTGAAAAAAGAAGAAGACATAAATTGACCATCAATATCATCAAACAAACTCACACATGGGATTTTGTTTCTAGGTTGTCAAATAATGAAAAACGCATGACCCAGAATTTATAATTGAAAAAAGTCAACTTTTTTAATAAAAAAAATTAATTTTTAAGGGAAAAAAGAGATGGGTAATGTAGAAAAACTCACCTCAACCTCGAGCAATGCTTTAACGTTTTCCACCTACCAAAAAAATAAAGAGAGAGAGAATGAAAAGCAGTGATATGAAAAGAGAAAGATGAAAACAAAAGTAGGATCTTTGATGATTACAGATTCGTGGGGATCCACATCCAATGTGAGAATTTGTTCATCAGCAGTCATTACAGTGATCTTCATCTTCTTCAATGTTTCTCTCTCTCTCTCTCTTTCTCTCTCTATCTCTAGATTTGTGTTGCAGCAAAAGGTGCGAAAGAAATTACGAGGTTGATTTTTTATGTTATTGGTAGCAACACAGCACAGGAGTAAAGACTAATGGAAGACTACGCTTCTTACGTGAAAACCTTTTTAACTGTGACTTGTTGAAGAGGTTTGGTTCACTTCCAAACAAGAAAATTATTAAATTTGTATAATTTATATAAAAATAAAAAATTATTTATAAACATAAGAAACAACCCTATCTCTTATCTCTTTTTTTTTTATGTTAAACTCTTTTATGATATATATTTTCATCAAATCTATTTTTATATACAATGTTATTTTATTTAATTACTATAATTCAATAATATATAATTATTGGAATATTCTAAAAACAGAACATTATAAAATTAAATATATCGATAACTTCTACACTAAGATAACGAATTTGTAGCGAGAAAATTACAAAACTGTCATTTTTTTTTAGTGATGTTATCCAAACATGCATAAAAAAGGAAAGAAAAAAATATAGACAATAAAAAGATATTTTCTATGTTATATTTTAATCATTTGTGCTTATCACTTTGGGCAAAAAAAATATTAATAATCATTCCAAAGTTTTTTTTTTTTCAAAATTCCAAAATTTTTACTTATCGTTATTCTTTTTTAATTTGTTAATGCGAATTTGCTCGAGCCCGTCTTTTCCTATTATCAGGGAGAAAAAATTCAATGATAAGTGAAATTTTTAAATAAAAAACTTAACGTTAAGATAACTTTTCATCATCTTTCTTATTTTTAAAAAAATTATTGTAATATTATAATTGTCATAAAAATAAACGTTGGATTGGTGAAAAATCTTTTCAATATAGAAGTTTTATCTAGTTTAGATTTGAGAATATATATTTTTTGTTTTTTGCGAATATAATATTTATTTGTTATTTATTTGAGTAATTAAATTAGTTAACTTAATTTACTATCGAATATATAAATTAAATGATATAAATTATTTTAGTTTAATATGTATTCAAGTTCAAGTGAAATATATTTGTGATGAAAAAATAATTAATTTAATTTTAAATAAGTTATAATTGTTATTCAAAGGTATAAATTTTGTTTTTTTTTTTCATAATTTATGAATACTTTTGTGTTGTGAGATATAAAATGAGTAATAGATATTTTTATTTACTTATGTAATATAATTCAATCTATCAATTTTATCATCGAAACTATAGTTGTTTTTGCTGGAAAAAAAAAAGCAAAATATAAAATTCACAGGGGGAATTTTTATCATTTCTAGACATTTCTTCCTTTGGTTTAAGTTAAACCTGTGATCAAAATACTTTTATTTCAATAGGCTCCACACTGAAATATTTTAACATAAGATAAACAATAAATGCAGCTGAAAAACTTTTGCAGCTTTGTTTTTTTTTTATTCAATTGTTTAAAAACAAAAAAAAATAATTTTATAACTAAAAAACAACGACAAATAATTTTATATTAAGATAAAAAAAATATAATAAAAAGTTTTAATTTTTAGAAGTTAAATTTTTTTTAATTATTATAAATAATTTTTTATATAATTTTTTTTTACTTTTTGTTTACTTCTTTTTTTCTAATTTCTTTATTTCAATTTCTATTCACTCCAACAATACATCTTTCTTATTCCAATTGTTCCTATTTTATTCATCTATGTCACTTTTAATCTAAACAAAGCATATATATTGAACCTCACCAATTCAGTTTGGATTTATCAATTTATCTTAAACACAATGTATACTAATAATTTGTTTTTTCCACAAGTACACTTATGAATATTAAATTAATTTATTAAAATAAATTATTAAAAATAATTTTATAGAAGATTAAAAATATATTATATGAATATGAATATATTTAAGTTTACGTAAAAAAATTAATTAAAACTAAATAAAATGAAAAAACAAGTGTAATTTTATTTTATTTTTTATTTCATGCAAAAGAAAATGAGAAATGAATTTTCTTGGTGTGTGCTGTGGCGCTTGCACTTCTCTGTTTCTTCATTCAGATCTCACTCTCTCTGCACCCACAAATAATTTCATTCTCTCTCTCTTGCAATCCCAAATCTCAATCTGAACAAAACCTTCAAAACCTCATCACAGATTGAATTCCTCATTCATTCAATCTGATGATGGCAGCCCCAAATCAACCACCCCCACCCCCCTTCGACATGCACGCCTTCTTCAACCCAACACAACCTTCTAACCCTAACCCTAACCCTAACCCTAACCCTAACCCTTCTTCGTCCTCTTTCCCCTTCCACCACCACTTCCCCCCCTTCGACCACCACCACCCTCTCCACCAGCAGCACCGTTCCCTCTCCTTCCCCACTCCCCCTCTCCAGCCCCAACCCATCCCTCCCCCTTCCACTCCCAACGCCGGCGCTCGCCTCATGGCACTTCTCAGCAACCCCTCCCCTCCGCCGCCGCAACAACCGCCGCCATCCGCCACTCCTCCCTTCTCTGATTTCTCCAATTCCCCCCTCGTTCCCCCCTCTGCCGGCATTCTTGCCGCCGCCAATGCCGCTGCCGCCGCGTTGACGCGGCTCCCGAGCGGTAAGGTTCCCAAAGGGAGGCACTTGGTCGGAGAACACGTGGTGTATGACGTGGATGTTAGGTTGCCCGGTGAGGTGCAGCCTCAGCTTGAGGTTGCTCCGATTACGAAATACGGGTCGGATCCTAACCCGGTTTTGGGGCGACAGATTGCTGTGAATAAGTCGTATATATGTTATGGGTTGAAACAGGGGAACATTAGAGTGCTAAACATTCACACTGCTGTGAGGTCTTTGCTCAGAGGCCACACTCAGGTTGCTTTGGTTTTAGCAATGCCTTGTCATAATTGTTGTGCTTGTTGTACTGGTTTTGCTATTAAAAAATAATGGAAAATGTTATATGGGCCAGTGCTTTTTAGGTGAGGAAAAGAAAAACTCGAAGAATTTGGTAAATAGTTAGTTATTACAAGTTAGTAAGACACAACATAATAAACTGAGCCTCTCGCGCTAAGGGGGTTGGCTTTACATGGATCAAATGAGGCCATATTACGTTATTGCATCCGTGTACTTCGCAAATGCTGATCTACCATTTACTTTGAGAGTGGTGATCTAACATGTATGAGTTTTGCTGATTTAAGCTTCATTTTTAATTTTTGAGGTAGTAATAGTATTCCTATGTGGAAAGGGGCCGGTCACAATCCTGGTCCGAACATGCTATATTGATGGTGCTTTTGTTATTTTCCTGAGTGTCATGTTCATAGGATAAAAAATTGAAGAAAGTAGCATTTGGCACAGGATCAGCTCTAAGCATTGGTTTGCTTCTTTGTGTAATGTACTTTGAAGTGCTGCCATAATTCTAGGTGAAAGGCTGCATTTTGTTATGTTAATTGTAGCAGAGTTCTTGTACTTAGTCAAGTTTAATTGCTGGTTTGCTGCCTTTGTTTGACTCATGAGTTGTTTCCCTGTTTCAAACTATACTGCTTCATATAAGTTTTTAATTGCAAAATTGTTAGAGGGATAACCAACTTATCTGTTTTTTCCCATTGCCAGAGGGTCACAGACTTAGCATTCTTTGCTGAAGATGTTCATCTATTGGCCAGGTAGTTTTTGTTGCCTGAAAATTTTATATGGCCCAGTCTGTTTGTCTTTGGATTATAGGAACATGCTTTCTTTACAGTGTTGGCACAGATGGCCGTGTCTATGTGTGGAAGATCTCTGAAGGTCCAGATGATGAAGATAAACCTCAAATTACTGCAAATATTGTTATTGCTATTCACATTGTGGGAGAGGAGAAAGTTGAACATCCTCAAATTTGCTGGCACTGCCACAAACAAGTGATTTCCCATATTCTCCTGTTCCACACTTCTAAATTCCAAAAACTTGCAGCAATGGTTTAACTTTCTTTCTTACATTCTTGTCATATTAATTTAACCTTTTCATACAGGAGATTTTGATAGTTGGTATTGGGAAACATGTTCTGAGAATTGACACCACAAAAGTTGGAAATGGTGAAGCCTCTGTGGCAGAGGATCCTCTGAGATGTCCTGTGGACAAGCTCATTGATGGGGTTCAGCTTGTAGGCACACATGATGGGGAGGTGACTGACTTGTCAATGTGCCAATGGATGACCAATCGATTAGTATCTGCATCACAGGATGGCACGGTTTGTAAATTTATTTTTTTTGGGTTCTAATTAACTGCTACTTTATGTTTTTTTTCCAATTTTGATTCATTTTTCGGTTGAAAGATAAAAATGTTTATTAAAGCATTTTCTGATCAGGATGAACAAGGCATTGGAATGAATGTTCCATAAATATGCATGGTTTTCTTTTCCCCTGCTATAGTGGTACTGGTTATCATAAAACCAAACACACAAATATATGGGTGTATTAATAAACATTGAACAATACTTGTATGATAGTGCCTATAGACACAACCACAAGTTCAAAATTTAATAGTCTGTGGCAATGTTATTAATGGTGAATGGCAGCGAGCCAAAATTCCATCATAAAATAATGGTGGATGGCTTTGTAGATTGTGGTGGAAGTATGGCTCTTATGATAAAATATTATATACAAAGAATATACCTAAAAATATTGTGTATGATTTTCCATTACTTGAGACACTGGAGACTGCCATGCACTTGCCCAAGATGATGGTGGGGAGTCTACAATGAGGATTTTATTTTTATGTCACTGGAAATAGTTGTTTCTCTTCTATAAGAATAGCCACGCAGAATGACTTAGACTGTTTCCTTTAAACAATACTTTTGAAACATGTTTTTTCTACCATTGCTACCATTTCTGCAATGGCCACCCCAGAAATAGTGGCCTTCATGAACTGCCACACCATGCTCCTTACATAATGTTATGTGCACATTTTTTCATGCCATAGCACTGTGGGTGTTAATTTTTTTACACTGGTTAGTAGTGAGAACATGCTGAAGTTATTTTATAGAGGTTTTTATTAATTGTGCCTATAGGCAAGGCTGTCAAATCCGGATTCAAATCACAAATTGGAAGGCTTTTCCAAATCATAAATTGAACTGTATGGTGAATCATAATATTAACAATCAATCATTAAAAATAACATATATAGCTTATGAAATAATATACAACAAAGTAGAGAAATACCAGAATAAGGCAGGGGAGTTGCAGACAGTTTTAAGAAGAGAAATAAGAGAGCAATAGAAAGAAGGCAGCAATTGAGTGTAACATACTTATGCACGCGTACACTGGAATTAATTGTTATCTATTTAATGTCGTAGACGTCTAAATCATATTTTTCTTCAATCATCAAATGTGACAGATAAAAATTTGGGAAGATCGCAAGACACAACCACTTGCAATATTGAGACCTCATGATGGACATCCTGTTTTTTCTGCAACATTTTTTACTGCTCCACACCAGCCTGATCATATTGTCCTTATCACAGCTGTAAGTGTATTCATCAACTTTAGTAGATCTGATCAATCTGAATTTGTTACCCAAACGTCAGTGTAGGACAATTTTTGTGATAATCATTTACATTTATAAATTATAAGCTTAAAAATATTAGCAGAGATCTGTTGTCCATATTACATCATTTCTATCAAATGATCCTCCATAGAAATGTTTATCATTTGTGATAAATCTAGTTATATTTGTATGTTTGTTTTACTGCTTAAAAATATTTGTAGAGGTCTGTGTCCACGGTACACCTTTTCTATCAAATATTCATTGCAAACTTATATCATATGTGATGGTTCTAGTTATATTGGCATGTGTTTTATTTGTTTATAATTGACACCTGAGTGTAGGGACCACAAAATCGAGAAGTGAAGCTTTGGGTCTCAGCTAGTGAAGAAGGTTGGCTGCTCCCAAGTGACGCTGAGTCATGGAAATGCACTCAGACAATGGAGTTGAAGAGTTCAGCTCAACCATCTCCTAAGGATGCATTTTTTAATCAAGTTGCCGCATTGCCTCATGCAGGTCTGCTTTTACTTGCAAATGCCCAAAGGAATGCAATATATGCTGTGCATTTAGAATATGGTCCTAATCCAGAATCAACACACATGGATTATATAGCTGAGTTTACAGTGACCATGCCCATTCTGAGTTTTACTGGGACAAGTGATATGCTACCTCATGGTGAACATGTTGTTCAGGTTTATTGTGTTCAGACACAGGCTATTCAGCAATATGCTTTGGATTTATCCCAGTGCTTGCCTCCGCCATTGGAAAGTTTGGGACTTGAGAAGTCAGATTCCAGTGTTTCCCGTGATGCAATTCCTGTTGAAGGATTCAACTCTTTAGACTCGTCTGCAGGTAGAACATCTGAAGTGACTTTAGCTAGTTCTGCTCCCAAAGCATTGTTACAGGCAGGTAGTGCTGAGAATGGACTTGTGGCTAGATACCCTTTAAGCTCTGGCCATATCGAGGCACCCATTTCTAAAGAAATCAGCAGTTCAAATTCTGAAGCTAGACCTGTTACATTAGCTCCATCTAGTAGTGATACTGATATTGTTTGTGTTCCATCTCCACCTCTTCCTTTGAGCCCAAGGTTGTCTAGGAAACTTTCTGATTTTAGGAGTCCACAATCAAACTTGAATGATCATGTTGGTGACCAATCTGTTAATGACTATTCAATAGACAGACAGATGGATACCATTCACAGGAATTTGTCTGACCCATTGAATAATGATTCAAAGAATGATGAGAAGAAAGTCAAGCAGGATGACATTTCTAGTGTACTTAATCCTTCTGTCATGTTTAAACAACCAACTCATCTGATTACACCATCTGAGATTATAAAAGCTGGTTCCTCCTCAGAGACTAATATAATTGAAAGGAAGAGTGAGAGAGAAACGAAGATCCAGGATGTCGTTGATGTGGGTAATGCTGAAGTAGAAGTGAAAGTGGTGGGTGAGGCAAGATCTAATCAAAACGATGAATTTGGTCGGCAGGGGCAACAACTAAACCCAGTTTCTGATGGTAAAGAAAAATTATTTTGCTCTCAAGCTTCAGATCTTGGTATGGAAATGGCCCGAGAATGTCGTGCAATATCTGGGGATACCTACATTACAGAGGAATCTGGAAATGTTGATTCCATAACAGGGGACTCATTGGCTCAACCTCCTGATTCCAGTGAAGATGGACGCCGAGACTTGGCAAAAGATGTCCATGAAAAGGTTTCTGACTCATCTACATCCATGGCAGTACAGCCGTCGCCTTCACCTAATACTAAAGGAAAAAGACAGAAGGGTAAAAATTCTCAAGCATCAGGTCCATCTTCCTCATCTCCAAGTGCATGTAATTCTACTGAGTCATCCAATGAACCAAGTGGAAATTCAAGCCACCCATCTGCGGAAAATGCTTTTCCACAAGTTCTGGCAATGCAAGAATCTCTCAATCAGGTGATTTTTATGAGTGTTTTTTTTTTTTTTCTGTTCATGATGCATTGCTAATCGTCCATTGCATGTTAACTTGTTAGAATGCATTTGAAGGGACTTTTCTTGAAAATGCTTTTAATAAGTAATATTCTTTAGCATGTAAAGAACTTTTCCACTTAGAAAAAGCTGAAAACAGTTTTCTTCTTCAGAAGCTTGAGTTTTTAGTTTTTCTACAGGTGCTTGTTCACTAGAAAATGCTTGCCCAAATTAGTTTTTCATGTCCTTATTTTAAGACCTTGATATTGTTTGTGTTTGTGCGTGTGCTGATTTTAAATTATGTTGAAAGAGGAGAATAAACAAAATGTATTGAAGTAACAATGCAAGTGTTATATTTTGCACATACTTCGGCAGTTATCAACTCTTCAAATAATTTATTATCTTCCTATTTGGCAGTTATTGACAATGCAAAAAGAGATGCAGAAGCAAATGACAATGATGGTTGCAGTCCCAGTGACAAAAGAAGGGAGAAGGCTTGAGGCTGCCCTAGGAAGAAACATGGAAAAAGCTGTCAAGTCCAACACTGATGCTTTGTGGGCTCGAATTCAGGAGGAGAATGTGAAAAATGAAAAGTTGCTACGAGACCGTATTCAGCAAGTTACAGGTTTGATTAGTAACTTTATGAATAAGGATCTCCCAGCAATATTGGAGAAAACAGTAAAGAAGGAAATGGCTTCGGTTGGGCAAGCAGTTGTACGTTCAATGTCTCCTGCTGTTGAGAAAATAATATCTTCTACTATTGTTGACTCCTTCCAGGTTTGTACAATATGTCTTAACAGAATTAGAAATGAGAATGAACTCAATGAATTTGTCTTACTGGGATCTAATTGGCACCTTATACTGTAGAGAGGAGTGGGTGATAAGGCAGTGAATCAACTTGATAAATCAGTTAATGCAAAACTTGAAGCTACTGTGGCTAGGCAAATCCAAGCACAGTTTCAGACAACTGGCAAGCAGGTGCTCCAGGTATGTCTTTCTTTCACTCTTAAGAGTATCATATTTGTAACTTTGTTACTTCATTCTTGAGTTAGTGGTATCTGTGATTTCATCATGAAGAATCATTTGTTCATTATTGTGAAATATTTCCTTCTGTAGGATGCACTCAAATCCAGTTTTGAAACATCAGTGGTTCCTGCATTTGAGATGTCGTGTAAAGCCATGTTTGAGCAGGTAGATGCTACATTTCAAAAAGGCATGGTTGAACATTCAACTGCAGTGCAGCAACGGCTTGAATCTGGGTCCTCTTCCTTGGCAATGACTCTAAGGGTGAGTGACTGACTGGTTCCTTTGGGGTCATCTGTACTGTAGCAACATACTCTTTCATTTGGACAAAAATATGGATAATTTAGTTAGTTCTGGGAAATGATGGCGAAAGAGAGTGATGTTATGAGTAAAAAGAAGGGGTATAATCAAAAGGGTAGTTTGACTGATAAATGATAATCATTAAATAATACTTTTATCATTATATAATAAATTAAATGATAAACTAGTGTAAAATTATATAAAAGTTAAGTTAAACAAAATTTTAGAGTAATAAAAAAGGACCATATTGCATGTTTTACAGATAAAAAATCATAATATATATCTAAATAACAGTTCATATATACATCACATATGTGAACTTTTTCTTGTATTATTTTCCAAGTGTTTTAGCATTAATTTAAGAATAAAAATAGAAAAGGCTAAAGGTCATTTTTGAAAAGGATTGGTTTACTTGTATTAGTTCATATAGCCGATTTTGGCCAGTTCTTGACTGAGTTTTTGCTCGATCGGTTTTTAGGGTGTTCTGGACTAATGGCCTAATCCGTTCTGGGTCTAACTGGTTGAACTGACCAGTCTGGTTTTTGAGACCATGAGTTAAATGAATTAATTTGGGTCCAAACATTTACTAACATGCCTTAAATATCCTTGTTTTTCTGCAATGAAGCATGGCATTTTTTTGTCCTGGGGGGGTTAGAGAGGGAACCCCTTTTACCCAGGTTTTTTTCATTTGAACCTGTAAATTGCCAAAAAAAACTAAAAATACTTTCACCAGAATTTGAATCCACCTCTTCTGTTAGGAAGTGTCCTGTGCACCTAATTTTCCCTAAATTTTCTATGATATGGCGACCAAGTGATGTAGATTGTAGAGAACTTGGAAATATAATATCCCTAGAATAGGAGAGGATCTGGATCCACTTTTAAGGTAACTCCTTGCCAATTTTAAGAGATTAAATTTTAATGATTTTCTGCTATATTTTTTTATTATGGATATTTTGAGTGAAGTATTAGTTCTAGTTCAGTTTTATAAGGCACCTTTTGCATATTAATTGATTTTGCTAGGTCTTTTGTTTTAACTGAAAAGAACATACTATCTACAAAATAATTTTGCATCTGTATGGCTGCCACTTGCTATATGCTGAGGGAAGCAGAATTTTATATATTTTCTTGAGATGGATGCTAACAATACTCTCTCTAACACAACTTGCCATTATTTGCTGAAATTTATTTAGAACTACAAAATCTATGTGGGTCTCACTCTTTCTCACTCCAAAATTAATATTTTTCTCTTATACTTTTGTAATTTTCAATAAACTTGAGTCCATAGTAGGGAGTGTGTTAGAGAATGTGTTGCTAGGATTCCTCTTTTCTTGATTGTGATTTTTACATATTCATACTAGAGTTTAGAAGTGACATGCTTGAAATCTCACACCTGCTGAATAGAACTGATTGGTTGTGAGGAATATTGAATATCAAGATATGTGGTAGTTTTTCCCTTCCCATCTTATTTAGCTTGTTACCATCTTTGTATCTCAATGGTAGTAGTTATCTTGATGCAATTTGCAGGATTCGATCAATTCTGCATCATCAATTACTCAAACCTTGGGTAGGGAAGTGCTCGATGGCCATAGAAAGCTAGTGGCACTTGCAGCTGCAAGAACAAACTCGGGCACATTAAATCCTCTACCTGTTCAGCTTAACAATGGTCCTTTACTTCCCGAAAAGGTGAGGAAATTTGCTAACCACTTGTTGGTCCTTGGTGTAGGTAGGGGTTAACAGAAAGCTTTACATTTGAGTCTACATGGTAATAATTGCTCTTGCAATCTTGTATTGCATATCAGGTTGAGGTGCCCCTAGATCCAACACAGGAGCTAGCAAGGATGATTTCTGAACGGAAATATGAGGATGCTTTCACTGGAGCTCTACAACGAAGTGATGTATCCATTGTATCTTGGTTATGTTCTCAGGTATGCCGAAGATGTTTTCATATTATCTTCATTAAACAAACTGTAGATAAGCTTGGGTAAAATCTCCTGTTGTAATGCCTTTTTCTTATACTTATCACCTCTGGCTTTGGGGGCAGGGTGACGATCATTTGCAATCCAAATCTTCCGATTCAACTTGAATCGAGGGAGCATTAACTTAATATATAACATTTTATTGCTTCTTATAAGCATCAATAGAAATTCATGCTGCCGTGTATGTGTATCTGAACTTATTCAAATAAACATTTTATTGGTACGTAAAAGCAGGTTGATTTACGTGGACTTCTGTCAATGGTTCCTCCACCTTTAAACCAAGGCGTAGTGCTTTCACTGCTGCAGCAATTGGCTTGTGATATTAACAACGATACACCTCGAAAGATTGCGTGGATGACTGATGTGGCGGCTGCCATAAATCCCTCAGACCCCATGATATCGATACACGTGCGACCCATCTTTGAGCAAGTCTATCAGATACTGAATCATCAACGTAGCTTGTCTACAGTGACCGGAGCTGATCTCTCAAGTATCCGCCTTTTATTGCATGTCATCAACTCCATGCTTATGACATGTAAATGATTTTTTTCTCATTTCCAGAAATGTGCAAATTCTTCACCTTTTGAACTTCGAATATGATTGGAATTTTGTACAAAGCTGTTTCATTGAAAGGATCGAAATTTGTAGAGTTAGTGTTGACAGGTAGTTCATCTGTCAAAATATTCTGCAGCAACGAAATTCGTTTTTTTCACTCAATTCACACGCTATTCATATGAAAGCCACAGTTGTAAAATGTGTTAGTTAGTTTAGAATTAGGTTGAAGTTATGGAAATCCCTTTTTTTTTAAAAAAAAAACCATTAGGTCATCTATGGGTGTGTGTAACTGTTTAATTTCAGAATTTTCTGATAGCCAAGAAGTATTGTTCAATGTTCAAGTTCTTGACTGTGTGAGCATTTTGAAGAGCATTTAGTGTCATTTATAAGTTATGTAATTGAAGAGCATTTTGATGAATTTTTATGGAATATATTGAAGTTAATAAAAAATGTTTATGATTTTTGTAAGTTTTATTTTAAGCCTATTTTAATCAATTTTATGATATAATTTAGGACAATTCTTTATGTGATTATAGTTTATTGAATGAATGTTTAATTTGATTGTTTAATCATATAGAAAGTCAATTTACACTAGATATATTGATGATGTTGTTGCTGTGGGTTGAAGGGATTGTTTTTATAAAGGTTGATTTAAACACTTATTTAATATTTTTATAAAAATTTTCATCTCAAATTAAATAATAGAATTTATTAGATTAAGTTAAAAATAATTTATAAAATATATTTTATAAGAGAATGTTTTATTAAAACTTTAAAAGAGGTTTGACACTAAAATGGAAGGAGTGAAGAAAGAATATGTTTATATGTTTTATAGTTGAGGTAAGATTTTTTTATACTGGTGGAAGTTTAAATTTTTTTACACTTAATCTAAATTTTTTATTTAACTTAAATATAATGGCCAGTAAAATAATAAATTATAACTTGTTATATTTAAATTAAATAAAAGATTTAGATTAAGTATAAAAAATTTTAGATTTATATTAGTGTAAGAATATTATTTTTCTTTATAATTTATTATCTATGGGTTTGTTTGCATTAAAGTTAGGTATAATTAATTTTGATCAATAAATATAATTAAAAGATATTTTAAATTAATTTCAATTATAGATTTATATCACAAATTTTTTATAAAAAAAATAAATTTTGATTTTTTTTTAATATCTAAATAAAAACAATTTAAATAGATAATATCGTATTAAATAAAAATATTGCATGTTAAAATAATTTAAAAATAAAATTAAAACTAAGATTTACATAAATGTTTGAAACAAAATAAGCTACTAGTTCTTAAAAATACTCTTATTTAAAATAACTTCAAAAATATCTTATTTAAAAAATGAGAATAATATTTTATATAAAATATATTAATTTTTTGTATTAGCTTAATTGAGATAAGTATTTTTGTCTTCACTCTATATTTTTGTAAAGAAGAGAGAATTAGCGTAGATATGTTAAAAATTAGGATTAACTATATATATAATGCAAATATGAAACGATGTGTATAATATAAAGTTTTGCTTTTATTATAATAGTTATCATTATATGTCCTCCAGTATGACTGGCAATGCTTTTCTGATCTGAAAATGACACCTTTCATGTAAACTATCACAATATAGTTATATTAACATGCTTAATTATGTTTTTTTTTTTTTTTTACTTTTATGATAAAGTTTTATAAAAATTTTTGTAAAAATTTAATTCTAAATAATTATAAAATTAAGATTTAATTTTTATCATTAATTTGTTTCGATTAAATACTGAATTGGCTGAAAAATCATTTAGAAGTGAATGGTCCATATAATATGCCATATTATTTATTTTTTATTATTTAAAATTATATAATTAAAAATAAGCTTTTAAACACATTTCAAATAATTATATAAAAATTTCCTTAACTTTTTCTTATTTCTTCCTCCACCCCTCGCCTTCGGGTGTGACCCATGTTGTATGCTTAGCTGTTAACATGTAAATAGAACCCATTTGGCCAATCAATACCAAATAGCCAACGTGGTGGTGGTGTTATATAATTAATCTTTTTTCTTTATTGGCTTTTTCCCTCTAAAGAGAACATACAAGGATGAAGCTGAATCGGTGACCTATTCTATACTGGCCATCCTATAGTTGATTATTCACTTGACTTGCTGCTAGCTAGACAAAGCATACATCATTAACGATTGTTCACTTTCCGAGGAAATCAAACTCTAATGCCACTGAATAGTATCCAAACAAGTTCATTCCCAATCCCATCCTATAAAGAACTCTTATATTTTATAGCAAAACCAAGTATTTGTGAGATATAGCTGAAAAGTGCCCCCTTTGCTCAGAAAGCAACAGCAGAGTACACAAATTCTATTCGTCTATACTCAACAACTATGTGGGTAATTGTAAACAGTTTGATTTATCTTTTGGTATTTTATTTACCTGAATTTAGAGAAAAATATAGGTGGCCAGCCATCTTTTGTACATCATTTCTTTTCTCTTATTTTGAAAGAAGAAAAAAATAATTAAATCAAATTTTATGTAATTATGTAAAATATATTTAATAATTTATTTGTAATTATATAATTTTAAATAATAAAAAATAATATAGTATATTACCTGACGTCATTTAGAAATATTGAATTGATTTTAGTTCAACACTTAATAGAAAAAAAAATTGACTGTTAAATTTGAACTTTGTAATTTTTTAAAAATTAAATTCTAATAAAAAATTTAAAAAAAATTATTACAAAATATTTAATATTTATAAAAATAAAAAAATATAATTAAGCCCAACTAATAACAATTACATTGTGAAAAATTAAATATTATTTAAAAAAATTTATTGTCACTTTCCATTAGAAAAAATTATGTTTGATTTACTTTTTAAAAATAGTTTTTAATTTTTAAAATAAAAATATAGTACAATTTTGTATTATTATTTTTTCCTTTTATATCTCTTTCCATTTCTTTTTTTTTAAGTACCATTCTATTTATCATTTTTTTAAAGATAAATTAGTGTATTTAAGATGCATTTAAATTTCATAATTTTTATAAAATAATATAACTTTTATAAATTTTTTTTATCTCACAATAATAAATTTTATATACTAATATAATAAAAAATTATTATATATATTCTCCTTTGTTTAAGTGAGAGGATTCAAATTGTGTATAAAATTTTATTATCTTATTTATTATTTATTAATTAAATTTAAAATTTTATGTTAATAATTTATCATAACAATAAATATTAATATTTTATTATGATAAAAATTTTATTTTAATTGATAAATAGTACTAATAATACTTACAATTTTTTTTCTAAAAACAGTCTTTTTAGTTAGTTTTTTTTTTTTAATAATAGCCATTTTATAATTTTAAGGTATAATTTTTAAAATTTTACTCTTAAAATTTATATTTTATATTTTTTTACCATATAAACAAATTTAAAAATAAATATAATAAAAAAATTATAATAATTAAATATATTTCTTAATTATTGCGCATCACAATTTCAAAAGACTATTTTTCAAAAATGGAAGAGTTTTCCTCTTTATTTTATGCAGTAGAATTGCAGAAGAAAAATCCAGTAAAATAATATTCTCTTTGTTTCTTTAAAATTATTACACAAAAAATTAAAACATATATTTATCTTATATTTATTAAAAGTATAATAAAATTTTTAATTATTTTTATTTTATAATTTTTTTATAATAAATAAATAGAAAAAATAAATAATAAATTTTGAGATGTAATTATATTAAGAGTAAAATTTTTAAAAAAAATTATCAAAATAAAACTAACCAAAGTAGTAATTCTTCAAGAGGAAATAGAAGTAAAATTTTGTACATAAATTTGGTTTTGCTTTCTCTCTCTTTTTCTGTAGGCTAAGGTTAGTAATTTCCAAATCCCATCACTCTCTTCCCTTCGTTTTCACTGATTCGTCGTCTTGTTAATCAATCTACATTTTTCTTTTTCTTGTCTTTTAGAAATTCACAATTTTCTTTGTTAATTAGCCGAAGCAAGTTCGAATAACAAAATCTCTCTCTCTCTCTACCAGCATTGGTCCGTTTCCCATCTTCGGCTCGAGTAATACCCCGAAGACCGGTTTCGACTCAACGGCGTCGGAATCCGGCGGCGTCTCCGGCCGAACGCCGCCTTCAGCGACAGATCGTACATCGCTCTTGCCGACGGATCCGACAGCGTCTCGTACGCGTTCCGTATCTCGATGAAGTCTCCGTCGTCACTCTCCGTCGACCGCCGCACCGCTGCGTCGGGGTGGTAGAGCTTCGCCAGGCTCCGGTAAGCCGATTTGATCTCCGTCAGCGACGCGTCTTGCTCGATTCGCAGCACTTCGTAGAGGCTCGCCGCCGACCGCCGCGTTTCAATCGCTTCCGCCGCGACGGCTCGGATCGAGGTCCAGCGTGGCAATGTGGTGGATCGGTCGCCGGAGGAGGGGAAATGAAGTGGCCTTCCGGCGGGGAGAACGGCGAGGTTGAACGCCGCCGGCATCGGAAAATGAATCGAAAGATGTGTTTCGCCGGCGAGGGATAGAACGAGAATATGAAATGTTGGGACTACGCCTGTTGTGATGAGCGAAGAGAGGTGAGGGGTTTATATAGAGTCAAAGGTAGAGAGAGAAATAGTAGAGAGAGTGAGGGATATAAGGGTCATTTGCATGCCACGTGGGATGGGCGCATAACTGTGTGGTATCTGTTGAAGAAAGAGAGTGGCAAAAAATGGCAAATGCTGACATGGCTAATGCTGTGCGTTTTGCAAGGGCTTCTAGAAGACCAATATTTTTGGAAATGGGACAACACTAGGGTCCACATGGGCTTCACTGCAAAACTTTAATAATATTTTCATATTTTAAAAAATTAAATTTTTTCATTTTTAATACAACTTAGTTTTCTAATTTTTTTACTTTAAATTTTTATAAATTTTAATTTTTTTTATCTAGTAAACAATTAATTTGAGGTAGTTACTAAAGTGATATATTTAAATATATAATAAATAATAAATTACATTTACACATTTTGAGTTTAAATAATTTTTTATTCTATATCTTGTCTTTATTTTTACTTTATACAAACTTCTTTTAATTGATATGCTATTTTCTAATACACAAACTTTTCTTGTTTTTATTTACAATTATAAAAAACTTAGGACTCAATATTTCTATAAATTCTAAAAATATATTGTATCTTAAAAATTTATTTGAAGATGCATCTCGTTAAAATATTTTTTAGATTCTTAAAAGATAAAACAGAATAATTTTGAGTTTTAAATATATTACATCTAAATTATACAAATTAAACAAATTTTAAAAATAAAGAAAGAGACATAGTTGTTAGATTTTTGATATTTTTAATTTAAGGGTTGTTCTTTATGATTTGAGGGGAAAACGTCAAGAAAGTGAACACAATGAAGAATTTGAGTTGGGATTGGTTGAATAATGATCTTTTAAAAAGTGGCGCTCTCCCTCTCATCCTTTGTATTCCTATTGAATAGTGTTCTTAAGGAATAATGATACTTTTCTTTTGTTAATTGGCACGCACTTTGCATACTTCCTTTTTGTTAAAATAATAGACAAATCCTTTTGGGTTGTCAATTTTGCTTCTCTTTACAATACAAAGCTAACCAAACTATGTGGAATTTTGTGAACAATTTGAATAAATTACTTGTACTTTCTATGCTGCAATGCATAACTAAGAAACCAAGATAATTTATTTAATATTTGTTTTTTTTGTTGCTTTTAGTTTTGTTGTAGCTTTGACATAAACTAAAATATTAGTCTAAGTTTTAAATATTATTTGACTTATTTTTCAATGATCAATGACTTTTGTAATAATAATGAGAAGGTTTTTTATATAAGTCACTTTGAATATAATTATTATTATAAATTATGATACATGATCTTTGTATTGACTTTATGAAGAAAAAAAATAAAAAGGAATGTGTATAAAAGTCAAGAATGATTAAATATATTTATTATAGTGAAAAATATACATTTTAAGATGAAATAAGTATTTTTTTTAAATATATACACAAATTGATAAAAAAAAAGATCGATAAAAATGATTATTCAATTTATTTAAAATTAGTTCTAATTATAGAATTACGATAGAACTCAAGATATAAATTTGTCACAAAATTAATTTTAATAAAAGACAACAAATTTAAGCTTAAAATATTATATATTATTTATAATTTTCAAAATTAAATTTTACTCTTCTAAAAAATGGGGAAAATACTTAATAAAAAATCTTTAAAAAATGCTGCATAAAACCATACAATAATTGAGGGTGAAATTATATTTTAATCCTAACAAATGTACTCAATTTCAATTCACTATAGATTAATTTTATCATCTCTTAAATATCAAAATTTCAACAATTTGGTACCTCTGTTAAATCTAACACTATTAACAGATTCCTTTAACTTAAGTTTGTAATATTATACTTTTTTTTAACAAAACATTAAAGCGAGTTGAACCTCAATGGCCCACCAAAATCAATTAGGATACATTTTAATTAAGGCTATTTTTTTTTTTTATAAAAGTGCTTTAAGAATAATTATTCACCAATACTCAACGGTAGAATATGAACTTATGTTACTGTGGAATACAAATTGAAATTTTTAGCAATCAGACCAACAATTTGTCTACAGTTTGTAATATCACACCAAATATGTTCGGATATTAACCGATAATATTTAAATATTATGGTGTCAAATATATTATAACTAGTTTTGTTGATAGTTAAATTTAAAATAAAGAAATAATATTCTCAAAATTTAAATTTTAAAGGAATAAATTTTTACAAATTAATCTTTATATGACGCAATAACAAAATACTTTATTTTAATGTTAAAAAACACATTAAAATATAACTATTATTTTTTTTAAGAATTGAAAGTTAAGCAATTATATGAGGACAGAAACTGCATTATACTTTTGTTTTCTTCTGATTGGAATTCGTACGACGTAGAAATGGTTATTGCCATATTGCATGGCGTGGTTGCTATATAATTACATTATTGCTTTTGGCTACGTAAAACAAATTACAACTAATTAATTATTTTCATTTTTTGGGTATGGAATCAAAGTTCACTATCTTTAGAATCATATAAGACCAAGTTTAGAGGACAAACTAGGAAAGGAGTCATGTGTGTTGAAACAAAAAATGAAAAGTGATGAAAACGATTTATATTTTATGTATATAAATTAAGGCTATGCATGTGAATGTTAATTTAAGGCTATATCTATAGGTTTAGCCATTACTAGTATTGAATAACTTGTATATACAATCAAGACAAAACCCAAACCATAAACAACAGTGCAACAATAAAAAAACTTAAAGTTAACAAACCCTAACAGAAGAGAAAAATAAATTTTAATTTTATAAATTTTAAATAAATTTATTGATATAATTTATTAAAATATTTTATCTTTAACTTAATAAGTTTAGATTGAATTTATATTATAAGTTAAATAAGTACTTAAACAAATTATGCATTAATCTTAATTTTTAAGATTAAATTTAAATATATCAATATTTTAATTTTAATATTAAAAAATATTGTTTCATGTGAGTGTTGCACTGCGTCAAAATCAAATATCAATTAAAAAATGCAAATTCAAAGCACGAGCTGTGACTTGATCTGGCACTACTTGAATAATCTACTTATTTCCTTTTATTTTTCTTTCTTTATAATAAACTGATTGGCATAATAAAACAAATAAAAATGTTTAAAATTTGAAAAATATATTATTATTTATATTTTATCTCTCATCTCAATAAAACATAACCCCCCACAGATTCTTTCTTCCTGCATACTAAAGACAATATCTGAAAACAGCTTACACTTATCATATTTTATTTATCAAGTATTAAAAAATAAAATTTTATATTAAAAAATTACGATTGAAGATAAGATTCCATAGTTATTCGCGGTTTTCTTCTAGAAGGTATTGTCATTACTCTACTTAGATGAATTTAGATTTTATTTTGATGATGCTGTGTTGTGTGTCACACAGGCTATGATGTGAGCTGTGATAGGGAATGTTAGTGAATCTTTGGCCCACAGACTTTCTGTGGGCACTATTTGTACACAGTGGTCTTCCCACATGCAACCCTTCTAGAAAGGATTTACATTATATATATAATTTATTGTTGTTATTTTTTAAATTAAAAAGTTTTCAGAAGTATTATTTAGTAAGAGTACTTTTAGGAGTATTATTAAATACTAATGTCTTGAGAGATTTTTTTACCCTATTAATTAATTTTTTATATTGTATTTATTTTTAATTTAATAATCTTTAAATTTTTAATTTTAATTAGTATAATAAATATTTATTGTTAAAAATTACAACATCTAATATGTTTCAAATTTATTAAATTTAAAGTATTTGTGTAATATATTTTTAATACTATGTATGTATAAAAAGTTTTATTTAATTGGATGATACCTTAACAGCTGAACTATGTGATTGAAAAAACTCCTGGTTTTAATGCAAAAAAAATAAAAAATGGTTTAAGTTAAATTCTATAAGATAATTTTAAGTTTCAACTAAATTGACAAATAAAAACAATTTAAATTAATTAATTTTTAAAATTGGTATAATGTAATATTATCACACCTAAATTTATTATTAATATTTATCTGGGATATAACGAACATATATTTTTAATAATTTTAATTTAGATTCATACTTTTTTATTTATTAGTTCATAAAAATTATAAATTGTATTAAAAAATATTTTTTTTAAAAAAATTCTTTTTATAGTATTGTTAGTTTTTATCATAAAGACGATTTAAAAAACATATAGAATAAAATATTTTTTTATTTAGAAGCACAATATTTAATTTTATAATATAGTTCCATCATAATTTTAATAAATTTTTATGTCTTAATATATTGACTATACTTTTAAGAGTAATAGTTAAGAAAAATTTATTTTTTTAACATATGACTCTAAACTAATGTAGTTATATAAGGAAAATTTTATAAACATTGATTAAAGAATTAAGTTTTTATAAAATAATAATAGCTTTATTGTATTAATATATTCATATCATAATTTTTAATAAAATTTTGTATTAATTAATTAACTAATACTTTTAAGAAACTTTTAATAGAATTTCTAAAATAATAGTAATGGGATTTCTAATATGACTCTTTTTAAATATTTAACATTAGCATCTTTTGATTTGTTAATTAATAAATGTTTATAAAAGTGATATAATTAATAGTTTTATTATTATCATTTGAAATAAAATTTCAAATTTGTTTGTAAACAAATTTTCAGGTTGAGTTAACAATTTTTATCTTTTAAAAAATCTGTGGCCTTTGACAACAACAAATGCTAGTCACGTTACTTTTGAAATGAAATTATTTTTATTAAAAGGATATTTTTCAAGATGTCAACAAATTTATTTTAAACAAGTAATTCTTGAAATTTAGAGGTGAGAGAATAAGTTTAAACATTTTAAAAAAGAAACAAGTACAGAGTTCTAATTTTTTTTAAATATATTATTATTATTGTGAATCAGATTGTTCAATCAAATTTTTTTTCTTCAAATAGTTTAGAGTTCTAATTCATATGAAAAATATTTGATGTATTATTAAAAGTGAATATAATATTTAAATTTCAGTGATTTAAAAATTGATTTTATATCAATTTTCGAAGGGACAAAAGCATGTTACCTGTCCTCCCCCTCCCCCATGTGCGTTTGGGATTTCGTAAGCAAATGTTAAGGTTCGTATAACGAGGATTCCACGTAAAGAGACATATCTTTCGGTTTATTTAAAATTGTAATAAGAAAATTCTAAAAAAGAAAAAACTTTCTTTAAATGCATTTTGAAATTTGTGCATATTTAATCCAAATTGTAGATTTCGTTTGGAGTATCTATATATTAATATATTTTTTACTTTATTTTTTTAAAGAGTATTTTAATTAGTAAGCAAGATAATATAGTAAGTGATCAGATCACCTCTAATTGTGGTGAGAATTACATACGCAATTTTATTTTTATTTAAATAAAAATTGATTTATTTAAGTAAAAATATAAAAATAACAAAAAAGAATTATGTAAAATTAGTTTAAATAAATTTTTTGAATTAAGTGAATTTTATGCATTTGAAAAGATTAAAGTTTAAATGTAGGGAGAAGTGAGGTCTAAGGATGGATGGAGATAAGCATGGTGGATAGTAATGGAGGAAGAGGAAAGTAGAGAGTTGAGTATAAAGAAAAAGATAAAAATAGGTGGGAGTGAGAGTAGAGAGAGAAAGAGAAAAGTTGAGTTTGAAGAAAAGAAAAAAGTTTAATATGAAGATTAAAAAAAGTTGAATATGAAGATTAAAAATGAAGTGTTTAGCATAAAGAGAAGAGTGAAAAAGAAAATAAAAATTCGTTTAAGTTAAAATAACTTATTTAAATTAATTTTACATAAAAACTTTGTCATATATTTTTTTTTAAGCGAATTTAGATATAGAGTAAGCATAACTTTTATCTTCAAAATTGACTTGCTAATGTTGGACGCGTTTAAAGTTTGGGTAATGAAAAAGTGAAATTTTTAAAAATATATATATATTTTATTGAATATTTTAAAATTTATTTTAGATTCTCATTAACAAATGTCTTAAGAATATTAAGAAAATATATTGAATAATTTATGTTTTCAATAAATTAGTTATTAACAAACATTCTTTATTTTCTTATTTAATATTTTAAGGAAACTGGTGAAATTTATTAAAATCATAGATGTGAGGAAGAAAATTTAAAGACAGAATTGAGAGAATAATTATTTAGCTAACAATAGCCAAGTAACCAACATTTTGAGCACTTAACTAACATAAAATTCACAATTTTTTTTGTAAACTGTTAGCAAACTTTCAAATATTTTTATTAATATTTGTCATAATTTTAACGAGTTATATGAAAATTAGCATTAACTTTGTAAAACTTGGCTCTGATACTTATGCATATGTAAGGGCTATGAATTTATTTTATTTTTGGTTGTTACAATATAATTGAGGGGCCATCTGAGAGATAAATAAAGAATAAAAAGAAAGGATTAGTTTGGTGGCAGAAGCACAATGATGATGATGAGGATTTTGATTGTTATATAAAATAGACCGAACGATCAAAAGAAAAAGAAAGCGAATGATAATTTCGTTATACCAAACACAACGGAACAGCACCATTTTGCAAAACCTAAAGACAAAGGAAAGTGCGCCAACATTGCATGCCCAAATAACAAGAGTTTTAGGTTTATTTTTACATTTTTTTAAAGAAAGAGATGGTGTCTTATTCTAATATGAAAAGTTTTAAAAATTATATAAAAGATTTATATTTATCTTATTTATAAAAGATGTGTTTATCTTATTTGTCTTAAAAGAAACATTTTAATTAATTAAATTTATGAAAATTTAGTTCTGAATTTTGGTTAATGACATTATGTGATCTATGTAATAAATTTTATTTAGTAAGATAATTTTTTTTTTTTGTTATAAAAATAGTTTTTTTAATCTAATTTTTAAAAATTAAAAAGAAAAATAGAAACAAACAAGTCTTAAAACTATAATTTTTCTATCATTTTTTTTTAATTTTATGAATTTAATTTATTTTAAGATTTTCAAATCTGAGAATTAAATTGATAAAGATGAAAATCGAATTAAAAATATATTTTTACAAAGTTTGATATTTAGTATGAATGTGTTTTCTCAAATTATATGACTTTAAATGACCTTTAATTTTGATTGTTGATGCAAAATTGTACAAACAAAATTTTATCTTCTTATTCTCATTTAAAAATAACTCTCACAATACATATTGAGTTTTAGAGAATCGTTAGAGGAATATATTTTCTTTTATAGAAAAAAAAATAATGAGCAGTGTATTTTTAGAGATCTTTTGATCTTTCTTTTAGGGGATTTAAAGTTTTTAGCCTACCCTCTGCATCAAATGAACACCCAACCCTTCTTTCTTTGGTCAACGATAATAAATAGACTTTCTTTTGTCCTCAACAATAATGGCTTTTGGATGTTGGGCCAAGGCCCATTTTCAACTTTGGGCCCAATTATACATGCTAATGCAAATGGTCCTGAGTGGATGTATAAATTAAATTGCATAATTTTGATCATTGCTGTCTGTTCAACCCTTGATAAAGCTCAAAATGCACGCAACATCACAACCTATAAAATGGGTCACAATTCAATATGTCTCCTCATTTTAGGGAAAAGATACATTCACAAACATATGTCACATGCATTTTTTACATGAAGCAAAATCAATGGCTCAAAGACTTTTGAATTTAAAGTAAACGATGAACACAAAATTATACTCATTCGTCTTAAGTAGTACTTCATCATCATGCATAAGATGATGAAGGACTATCTGTTGCAATTTCATTTGTAATATAGGGTGAGAATTGACTCAAGACTGTGTAGGTTAATGTAAACATAAGGCAAGCGTATGATCATTTAGTCCATATAATTATATGGTGATGGTTAATTCATAAGCTGCAGTATACATATAATTAATTACTGTTTCCATAGCTTGAAAGAGGTTGGGAATAAAGTATCCTCAGCAACTTCTATTAGTTAGTAGCACCATGCATATAAATTTATAATTACTTGAACATTAAGATTAAGATCTATGGGTATTTGATGAAATATATCCGTAGTATGTGGGGGAAAGGAAGGAGATATATGTCTTATTTTGATCTAATTTTTCTAAATACATAATAATAAAACATATCAGCATATTTAATATTATGATTAATATTAAATACACATATGACGTATGCATACAGAAATTAATTTTATATATATACCATTCTTACTACAAAAAAAAATCTATATATTCAATGAGGTTCTACCATGGCATCAAGTCAAAGTTAAAATAAGGTTTGGCATCAACGTCAAACAAACGGTGCTGTGTCCTAAACTTGTTTTTGGTCGACAACTACACTAATAACCGCGACAAAAACGAAGAACATGTGAAACTTCCTACATTCATTGCCTTAACGAACCCACAACAAAACTGAAACTGAATCCAAAACACTTGTTTTGTGTTCACTCCTTAACTCTTTACACACAAAGCCGAAATAATATTTCTGGGTCAGTTTGGTTTCTTAGTATTCATTTGGATCATAAATAAAAATGGAGACCCCGGTTGAAGTTAAACCTACTCTTATGTAAGTACTTGGATTCTTCAAATTTTTTGTCTTCTCGATATGAATATTTTATATATTTTTGCTCAATGACTTAGCAACTTGTATATTTATATATTTTTTTGCTCTTAATATTCAATTTCTTCATTGCAGTGCGTCGGGGTTCTTAGAAGACTTGTCTGAGACTTGCAAGGTGAGTTCTTTCTCCCATTTTGCTGAACCCTTTGTTAAATTATTTTGAATTTTGAATTGGGTTAGTTTTATTTATTTATTATTTTTTTTATAATTTATGTTGCTACTGTTTTTGAGACAGAAAGGGCATGTTGTTCTTTGGTGTTTATGAAAGTTTTATTTTGTTAATGTGAGAAGTATGAACTTCTTGATTTATGCATTTTTTTTTTTATATGGGAGTATACAACGTGTATGGCAAATTGGCAATGACAATGCCTATTAACAGTGTGTTTATCATTAGAAAAATGAGCCTTGTGAAATGCAGTAAAGGGGTTCAAATTCAAATGCAATAATGTTTGAATATGAAGATATTTTTGTTCTCCCTTTTCATTCTGTATTAGTGAATGTTTCCTTTCAAACATTTTGTAAATAATCAATGAGTCAGTTGCCAAATGAATGTGTTATTGGAAATACTTGTCCTGTATTTCCACTGCCTGTGTCACAGATGGGTTCTCCAAATGGAAGACCAATGCATAAATCTGATGATGAAGTTCCTTTTGGCTCCGAAGTAGATTTTCACTCGTCAGAATCTATACTGGTGGATGTCCATGGATCACGTGCTGGAGAATCTCAAAGTGCTCGTGGTAAAATGTTGGGGGTTGCTATTTACAGGAGCATACAAATTGTAGTTTTCTCTAACAGGCTCAACTTGCTTATGCCTTTTGGGCCTCTTGCAATTCTTGTACAGAAATTGACTGGTCATCATGTGAGTTATAATTCATACAGTTTTTAACATTTCTGCACTTTTTGTTAAATATCTGATACTGATTTGTTAAGTGAACTGCAGGGATGGGTCTTTGCTATGAGTTTATTGGGTATTATGCCTCTGGCGGAGCGTTTAGGTTATGCTACAGAGTAATATTACATGCACTCTGTAAGGTTTTGCTTAGATTTTCGCTTTAATGGTTTCTGATGTTACCTTTTTTTGGGTTTATATAGGCAGCTGGCATTTTTCACTGGAGATACTGGTAAATTAATAGCATCGTACTCTATGTTCTTTTAAAATTAGAACTTGTTATCAGAAAAAAGAAAAACCTAGAACAGATGCTGAAACCATTTAAAGCACAGACATTAAATGTATTATTATATGTAAATCAATGTAAATGTTTTGACAAATCTTACGTTGGTCACTGAAGACCTAACACAACCCTCCTCCTTTGCCTAGGCTTGGGATTGGTCATGGAACAATAGGCTGAGTTAAATGTAATATGATATGTGTGTTTTTGTGTCTAGTTTAGGAAATATTGCTTTTACAGTTTTGTATATATTGTTAATCAATGATTAGAAGTTGCTCTTTCAATTATCATTTTAACTGCTACATTTAATTTCAAAGTATTGATTCCAGCTAATTGCTTCAATCTTAATTTGTTTTAATATCCATGCTTTTGATGGAAAAATATATATTTAATTTCTGCATGTGGTATCGGAGTGGTTCATTCTTTAATTTTGTTGTTACTTTTTAGTCATACACTTATGGTGGTTTATTGCTCATTCAAGTCTATTGTATCTTGCAGTTGGGGGCCTTTTAAATGCTACATTTGGAAATGCAACAGAATTAATCATCTCAATATATGCACTGAAAAGTGGAATGACTCGGGTTGTCCAGCTCTCGTTGTTGGGTTCTATTTTGTCGAATATGTTGCTGGTACTTGGATGTGCATTCTTAAGTGGTGGGATTGTTTTTCATAAGAAGGAACAAGTGTTTAACAAGGTAGACATGCTAGTTTCTGGTTCTTTGATTATGTTTGTGAATTTCATTTTGTATTACCTGTAGCTGATCATTTTGGCATGCAGGCAACTGCTGCTGTAAACTCAGGATTATTGCTGATGGCAGTCATGGGCATACTTTTTCCTGCTGTTCTACACTACACACACACTGAGGTTCATGTTGGGAAGTCAGAGTTATTACTTTCAAGATTCAGCAGCTGTGTCATGCTTGTGGCCTATGCTGCATACCTATTTTTTCAGTTAAAAGGTCAAAGAAGTCATTACATGTCTGTGAATGAGGTTGGTGGTCTCATATCAAGTTTCCTTTTTGCTTCCTCCGTCATTCTTTTGTTTGTGATATGTGGTATGCAGTATGCCATGTAATATTATTGACTTGCATACTCGTTAGTATATGTAATTCATAATCATAATTTTATGCTGAATAGGAACTGTTTAGGCTAATAGATTTCCTTAACTCTAAACAAGTAGTAGACAAAAAACTGAAAAAGTCACATTTAGTTTTTTCGCTAGGCTTTATTGTTAGGCCTTTGAGAGAAACTTCTTGACTAAGATAATGCAACCTTGATGGATCAATTGAGATTGCAAATGAGTAGAATTTGATATATTTAAACAATCTGTGATTCCCTTTTTGATTCCCACTTATTTATTGTTTCTATTAAGATATTCCACATCAGCTATGAATATAACCAATCACCAATGTTCTTATAAAGATTAGGCAATCCTCCTTCTCGAGGTATGTTTTGGGTTGAGTTAGGTCTTTCTAATAGTTATGTTGTTGTTCCTTTTGCATGATATTAATATGCTTCCTACAATTCGTGATGTGAACAGTACAGCAAAAATGGGAAAAGAAACAAATAAAATTTTGTATTGATTGAAATTTCAGTATTACAAATGAGGAAATCCTCCCTTGTCCCAGAGCACAACTCCTAATAGAGAAACTCTAAGGTTTCCTCTACCCAATATGAAAGCAAGATACCAAATAATTCCCTCTCACCTATAGCATGATGCTATATACAGTGTGCAATAACAGAAAAGATCCTCCCTCTTTCTCTCCTCTAACAAACTCCTTTTCTACTTATACCAACTTTGCCCCTTTCTTCCTACGGGAATACACCACCCATTCCTTGTTTCATTGGCTAAAGGCTCTAAAAGGCCCAATTTCGTTTGGTTCCTACCAGATACGCTGTCTCATATGTTCTAAAAGATTTGTCTGGCATTTCTGCTCATTGTAGGGAGGGGGATTGGATGAAGAAAATTGAATTGGGCTCCAGTTCTAATCTTTGTGTTGATCTTTATGATTGTTTCATATTTTAAATCCTGGGAACTATTATGAAAGTGATTAATCACACTTGCCCAGAAAATTATTGCCTGAAAGTGATCCAATGCTTGTGGATGATTAAATGTCTGGAGAAGTTTTTCTCCCTTAGAAATAGGCAGAATAATTATTTATTGATTAAATCGCTTCTACACGTTCTTTTTCGCTATTTTGCAGCTCACCAATAATTTTTCTAGTATGCTTGATGTTACTTTATTAGGAAAGGGCAAGGCTTGTTGTTGCTTCTTGATGTTCAGTATTATCCCATATGGTATTTCCTGTAAATCCTTGACATAACATTTTTTCTCACCAAATTGTGGTGATATGAATTCAGCAAGAGGGTCAGAATGGGAGCAATTCAAATGATGATGAATCTCCAGATATTTCTAAGTGGGAATCAATAATTTGGCTTTTGGTTATGACTTCTTGGATATCAATCTTGTCAGAATATTTGGTTGGCGCTTTAGAGGTGAATAATGTTCTCACTTTCCTCATTAACATATTTTACAAAAGCTTGGAAACTTGAAAGTAATTAGTGAAGTAGCAGTCACTTGTTTGGATTTTTTGTTTCTTTTTCTTTCTACCCAGCCATATATCTAGTCAGTGATATATATTACATAATACATACCTCTTCAAATTGTATTTTTAGAAGGTAGTGGAATTGAAATTTTAAATATATTCCCTTGAGAATTGTCCTTTCTATCTGATAATATATTCACTACTCAGTATATCATTTTTATATATTTATGCAAGTTTTAAAATGGCAAGTACTAAGTTGTATGTTACCATTAACAACACCTAGAGAATGAGGATGTTTCTAGGACCCTTAATTATAGTACTGAGACCCTTCTTCCAATGAGAATCTAGACATTACAAATTCTATTTGTTTCTGGCTGTGACCTACATTTTGTCCTTAAATCTTTTACCAGTTGTAGGTTTGCTTTTCAAAATAAAATGCTATGTATGTGTCTGATGGATATTTTACAAGAAAGATGACTTTTCAAGATATCATTTAGGAAATATTTTGTGCAAAAAATTTTTTTGTTTGATCAACTGTTTTACAGGGAGCTTCCACTGCATGGAATATTCCAGTGACATTTATTAGTGTAATATTGCTTCCACTAGTGGGGAATGCAGCTGAACATGCCAGTGCTATAATGTTTGCCATGAAAGATAAACTTGTGAGGCTTCAGTACTTGTACTCACACATGCACCACGCTTATATGCATATTAATAGTTTTTATTCCTTTCAGGACATTTCCTTAGGAGTAGCAATAGGGTCATCCACGCAGATATCTATGTTTGTGGTAAGTGTTATATTGTATGGATGAGATTGAATTGCTATATAAAATTTTTTTTGCTTTGGTAAATAGCCATTGCTTTTTCTAATTTCAGTTTTCATGTGAGTGCTGTCTCCACTTTCTTTGTATATCTAAACATGCATATATTAAGTAGAATTAAGGTGGAGTGCTACACATGGAATTTTTGTACTGCCTGCTTCTGATGAAGTACAGTATACTGAAAGTTGGCATGATGGCTAAATAACTAAAATAAGAGAAAGTGAAGTTTTAGGATTGCCAGTACATGAATCTAAGAAAAGACTTGATTATTTGTTCATCTTTCATAATGGAAAACGAGTGGGAATTTGAGTTTCCGTAGAATTATATTTCTGCATCTTTTTAGTATTATGATGTTATCTGCTTCCTTCACTTTTTCCTTTCATTATGCAGATACCATTTTGTGTTGTTATTGGCTGGATAACGGGGCACCCTATGGACTTAAACTTTCAACTTTTCGAGACTGCAGCACTATTTCTAACTGTTATAGTTGTAGCCTTCATGTTACAGGTTTGTATTCAAAGATTGAAAAAATAAATAAATAAAGGTATTATTAACCTAAAATATGTAGATAATGGTACATGGAAATAAAGATTTGATTATCACTACAGTAAGAAGTCTGACATTGTAACATATTTACTATGCAATTGCAGGAAGGAACTGCAAATTACTTCAAAGGGCTAATGCTTGTTCTTTGCTATCTGATAGTAGCAGCTAGCTTCTATGTACATGTAGATTCCTCTCAATAGGTTAAGATTTTCCGATTGAAATTAACTTCCACATTACCTTTTGTTTCTCTGGTAAATTTAATTTTCTGAAATGTGGTTGTGAATATTGTTGTGTTTCCCTGATGCAAATGTGAGGAATTACTTTGTTCTTGTTCTTATACGTGCTAGAATATGGAGAAATGTAAATTTGAGATGACATGTTCAATCGTTGCAAGTTCATTAAATTATAGTACAATTGGAGAAATTCAGGGTACACACATGAATCTAAAGTGGTATTATCTTAGGTCTCACATGCATGTACATGTGTGTACACATGAATTTTTTCAATCATTACATTATATTGTTGAGATGCCATCAGTGATCATACCTGGAAATTATCTTGAAGAGCATGCCAGCCACGAGTCTTTGTGGTAAATTTGAGAGATCTCTTTTCACTTTTGAGGCTCCACAAGCATTACAAGATAATTCAAACATGTTACATTTTAATGTAGTGGGTTCCAAGAACAACTTTATGTAAATTTTATAATGCCTAGCATGTATGATAATTGCAGCTCTACAATATGATGGTTTGCAATGGAACAAGGTAATGTTGTCATGGCCTATGCAAATATTAACAATGATTGAAAATCTGTTGTTAAGCATGGAATTCTGTGGCAATTGCTCCTAAACTACTGTTTAGATGTGAGTTGTTTGAAAGGTAAATGTAGAAAATTTCATTCAAATTGTAGTTCAGAATTGCTTCTTTTGTTTCCTTAAATTGGAGTCTTCAATTTGTGTTCCTGTCCTTGACTTAACCGCTCATTCATTTCTGTCTTATAATTTTAAAAATAAATAAATTATATTTCTATTTTATATATTTTATGTATATTTACAAATACTTGTGTAATTCGCGAGATATTAATTTAAATACAATAGCTTTATATGATTGAACTTGAATTTGTTTACTCTTTTAATCTGTTGGTTAAATAGGTTTTCATCAACTGCACCACCCAAAAAAAAAAAAAAAACAAAAAAAACCAACACCTCACAAAAAAAATAGTTTAAATTTGACTATATTTATTTTCAAACATTAACCACATAAAAAAGTTTAATTTGAAATATGAGTTTTTTTTTTCTCTCTCTTTTGCAGTTTCTACTATTTTTTAATCCCCTGAAGCATGTTCACATATTTAGATTAAAGATAAAATTAAAATAAAATATTACCCAATATGCTCCTTTTTCTTTCAATCATCTTTTATGATTTTTTTAAATTAGAGATTCATTTTTTCATCAAAATCCCGTGATTCTCTCTCTCTTAACTGCATAAAAATTCCTTTCTCCGAGAAAAGAGTTATATTATTCCTAAACATATTTGTTAGACTTAGAAGTTGTAACTCACTTTTATAACTTTTTTTTGGTTTGGGTTATATCACTTTTTTTTTCTCTTATTTTTTGATCTCATTTTTAACTGTAAAATTATTATCTAAAATAGTTATAAGCCCTAAACCCTAAACACAACGAAACGTGACGATTCTTTACCTAAGCTGAAATGGCATAGAACCAAGCCCTATTGTGCTCATAAATAAGTTTGAATAGTATTTTGTATTTATGTTCGGATAACGTTACTTTAATATAGTTTCGAAAATTACAATCTAAGAGAAAAAAGTATAAAATAAAATGACTGAAACACATGCAATGAGATAAAAACAAATAAATTGAAAAAAAAATTATAAAAATTTTAGGTCTCATTCATCTCTATCTACCTCAAATACTGTACCCTGTTCCCCGCCGGCCCTGCACGCAACGAGTCTAGTACAACCTTCACCATTCTTTCCAAAACGACCATTATATTTGGATATTATTTACATTTTTATTATATAATATCATTATTTATATTATAATCTTCTCAGCTTATTATAAATTTAAAAAGTTTTTTATTTAACTTATATTTAAAAGTTATAATTTATTACTTTACTAATAATTAGATGTAAGTTAAATAAAAAACTCATATTGAATATAAGAGTTTTTAAATTTATATTAAATATTATATATATATATATATATATATATATTATATTTCTAACAATTTTTTAATCTTATATAACTCATCCAAAAATGGGATGTATGACTAACATTATTTTTTCAAAATTTCTCACCCCAGTCAATTTATCTTCTTCATGCATGATTAATGGCAGGGATAGGGACAGGATATTGTAACCAAAAATATAAATTTCGAGGATCCCATGGCATTCAAGCCAGAGTAGAGAGACAAAGAACTTATTAAACTATAGTTGTTTTCATTTTACTATCAATAGCTATATAAGGTGTAAACTTTAAAGTAAACCAAATAATATACTTGAGTCACCATATCATGAGTCAGATAAACGACAAAAAAAATTTCTGAATATTTAACACAATTATGTTTATTGAAATTTAAACTTGAGATTAAATATTAAGCTAAAATAATCCTAACTAGTCTTGTCACTGTGTTCTTATAATGTAAATTACTATTTGGGTTGCTGTTTCTTCAACGACAAGAAAATTGAATTCGATATTGAAAAAACAATAGACGAGTTTGTTATCTATCTTCGTTGGTATAGCGTGTGGAGCATAAACGAGTTTTTATATAATTTTGTCTTTAGAAAGATTTAAGTTTGATTCATAATAAATTTATTATTATTTAATTATGAGGGAAGGTTAGCTATCATAGTCCAATCAAAAGAATTATATTTTGATAATATCATTACATCATTAAATGATAATATAAAAAATGTTTCACTTATAATATGCATGGAATTTAATTAACCCCTGAAAATAATTCTTGAAATTGTTTCATATTCTTTTAAAGAAAAAGGTACTTGCATAAATTATATTATGAAAAATGCACATGCATGAAAATAGTTAAAGTTACTCCTAGAAACTTCAAATGTACCTATCAATAATTGAATTTGAATAAGAGTTCAAATAAGTCTCATCAGTTTGCTATTAAAAGAAACAAGAAACAATAAATTATAGTCGACAACTTGACAAATGTAAAGAGGGTGTAAGAGAGTTTTGATATATCCTTTTACATATCTTTTTAATTTTATAAAGTGAATATTGAATAAAATTATATAAATTATCTTTAAAATATAAAAAACATGTTTTATATATATTAAATATAATAATTAAAAATATTTATATACATAAAAAATAGTAATAATTAAAATTATTGAGATAAAAGGCTATAATCTCTTGGTTTAAAATCAAGGGGACACAATTGGTGTGAACAAGCAAAGTTATTGGGACAATGATGGAAGGGGCAAAGGACATGATGAAAGGATTGGTTTGAATAATGACTCAAAAAACAAAGTAGTGAGCATGATTGGGCCATTGTTATTTTGTCACATTTGATGAAGACAGTGCATCTATACCCATACTCCAAAGTCTTCATAAAAGAACATTGGGCCCATAAATTTTGTGACATAGGTCAACAAAATTTGCATATTAATAGACAAAATAAGTCAACGTGGACGAGGCCTGGCCTCTCTGTTATATTTTATTATAAGTCAATAAATAAATGTGATAACTTTTTGTTGTTTGACCTATAAGTGAAAAAAATAAGTATTTTTTCAAATATTTTTGTTATTAGATAAAGTATATGCAAGATGTGTTAAATTATATAAGTTTCATTTTTTATTTAATGAAATTCACCTAATAATTATAGTTTTTTTTTAAAAATATATTCAAAAGTGTGATACTAGTTAGGGGTGAGCATAGATTAGATTTGTATAAACCCATTTTAAATCTAATTATGTAGATTGAATTTTAAGTCAATTTATATTAATTTTCTAAAAACTGGATTAAAACTGGTTTTTAAATATAAATATAGTTTAAAACTGGTTTTAATAATATACTTATTTATATGAAAGATAAAGTGTACGCAGATGTTAAATTATATAAGTTTCACTTTTTATTTAATGAAATTCACCAAATAATTATAGTTTTGTTAAAAAATATATTCAAAAGTGTGATACTAGTATTTATTATTTATGAAATTTATCATGATGAGTTAGAAGTTAAGTTAACTTTTCTCTCAATCATGATTAATATTTGAGTTGGTGATTTATATTTTAAGTTTTAAGTTCAGATTTAATTTTTTTTAAGCTGGATTAAAGTGCGCCTTGTTAGTTTAATTTTATAAAGTTTGAAATATGTCAACTTGAAATAGGTCACGTAGTTTTTTTTTCTCTCTCAAACATGAAGCTTTATTCATTTCATAATGATTTTTTTTATTTTTTTTTTTGCATATAAAAAAGGAAAATTAATTTTTACATGATTTTTTTATGTTATATTCACACCTTTTTCATATAAAAACTTAAAAAATGTATAAAATTTATAAGATAAAAATGATAAGCAATTAGCAAAAGATCAAGGTTGCTATTTCTACTTAAAACAACTATTTCTATTAATTTCCAAACACCCCTAACAGAAAACAAGGTCTAAAATCATTGAAAGCTTGCTTTTTGTTTGCTAAATAGTTCATTATCATAGACAAAACCCCAACAAGAAGCATCACATATGCACCACTCGTTCTTCATTTTGGATAATCCACAATACTTTTTTCCTAGTCCTCAAAATCATGTTCTGACACAACATAAAGCAGAAGCTGGACCTGGATCGCTCCCAATAAAAACAGTTTTTTTGGGATGAATTTGAAAGTGAGATAGATGGCAGTGACCACTCAGATGATGATATTTGGCATGCATACCTATATTGTAGCTTCATGTACCATAAAATAATTAGTGGTTCAACAAGGATAATGGAGCAAAGTGAGAACACAAGATCTACTTTGATGTAGATGTGATATATATATATATATATATATATATATATATATATATATATATATATATATATGCTAGTTTTGGTTTAAAATTAAGTAAAATTGATTTTAATAAAATTATTATACGCGCATTAATTAAATTAAATCATAGATTTGTATTGAAACATGTATTTTTCATCGAATCAAACCCCTCTTAATTTACTTAGGGGACACAGATATGTGTTAACTGTGCCAAGCTTTGTTGGTATTATTAATATGTAGCTTTTATTTTCTTCATATGATAGTTTTATCTATTTGTGTTGTTTAAGTTTCATGAGCTACCACAGATGCAGCAAACAGGAACCAAGTTACGAAGCCACAGATGTTAAATTAACAAATTATTAAGAAGTTTGCAGCTTTTAAGAAGGTTTTTCCGAGAATTAACAAATGGTCCATGATTCCATGTGCCAGGACCAGGGCCAGGACCAACCTGCTCTATAGGCCACAATTTTCAACAAATTTTGCCTCATCCATAGTAAAATATTTTACAGAAAAATACACAAAACATGGTGCCAATAAAATCTAATGCCAGATTCTCTACTTAGCAAGATATCTAGGATGGTCCCTTTTGGGATGTAGTGAACTTGCATAGTAACCAAAGCATGCACACTCGTCCTTGTCCTAATGTCATCCAACCATTCTACACACAGTTTCTAATTTCAGAAAATGGAACACCACATTTATTTCTGTGGCTTCTCACTGTCCCTTACATGAAATCATCTTGGTAAGACCTTAACTTTTAGATATTAGTAACATTCATTACTGGTTGGAAAGAACCAACTCTTATTCCATTTAATCACACTAGGGGTAACTTCAACAAAAAGATGTAACTCAACTGAATAAAGATGTTGCTTTTACTCCAATGATTCTATGTATTCTGCAATGTGAATTCCAAAATTTAGTGTATTGTTCATTGAGGTGAAAGATGCTAGACGTAAGTGACCTAAAGCATGATGGAGAAGTTGAAATGAACTTCCATTACAGCATAAGACAATTTTGATGTATAAGTATGATCTATAACAATTTGGGTGCTTTCAATTCAAAGGTCAGAAAACATGGTTTCCATTACCACTTGGTTTCTTGAAGATTACCTAACAACCCTCCCACTTGACTCAGGTCCACTGATTCTGAATCTTTTTTTACTATTTAGAGTCTTAGACCACCAAGTAAGGTTGAAAGTAATGAAAAAAAGAATTAATAAAAGATTCCACGGTGAACATGACAGCTGATTCCTCAATTATTTGGATGGTTAAGCCTTGAACAAGCATTGTTATAAAAGGTTACCTTCACATAAACCTTATATGATAATTAGCTCATAATCATACCTCATGCAGCATCAAAGAAGCTACGTCACTCTTAGCATATTCTTTTACCTTTTCCCTCAAAGCCTATAATTATATTCAACCCAAGAGCGTTGCATTAGGCCAAGTACGAGGACATTTTCATTTTCCTGATCTTCAATTGTACCAAGAAATCTGGTAATGTAATTTGTTTGTGGCAAAGCCATGTCTTACAAAAGTTTGAGTCTAGTTTTGCATCATTAAGTTGTTTTACCAAGACTGACACAAGGACAATTCACAAGCCATACAGGCACATGTTCATTAGCAGAATTCATAATTTTTATACTATTTTCCACAACTTATCATGTGCTCTTTCAAACAACTAACTTTAGCAGAGTTGTCCAATCACTTAGGTACAAACTTGTTTGTCACATGCAGCAATAATTATGTACTTTTTCAACATATATATTAACTTCAATTTTTAAGTATATGTGGCATAGTTTGTGTTAAATTTTTTTAGCTTATGCCCTTCTATGGGATTTCCATGCAGTGAAATCCATGACCTTCCATTGAGTTGGGTGCTGAGAATAAGATGGATATGAAAAACTCTCTACAGATAAGTAGAAGTGGTACCGGTGCTTATGATGATGATGGACATGCCAAAAGGACAGGTAAACTTCTGTAGGACCATATAATTAATCCATGTTCATATATACTTGAATTCGAATCCTGAATATTAGTCTTTTCATCAATTCTTCCAGGAAATTTAAGGAGTGGTGTGGCTCATATCATTACTGCTGTTATTGGTTCTGGTGTTTTGTCTCTTGCATGGAGCACTTCCCAGTTAGGATGGATTGGAGGGCCATTTGCCTTACTTTGTTGTGCAATTGTCACATATATTTCTTCATTCCTCCTATCTGATTGTTACAGAACTCCTGATCCTGTCACTGGGAAAAGAAACTACTCTTACATGGATGCTGTTAGAGTTTACCTTGGTAATAACACATTAAATTTTTTCTTATGTGCTTGTCTAATCTTTCTAGCTAGACATTTATATGCCTCTCATGAACTACCATTATAATATATTGTCTAAATGTATTTAATGTTAGTTCAGGTAATAAAAGGACATATGTAGCTGGGTTCCTTCAATTTTTGACCTTGTATGGGACTTGTATCGCTTATGTACTTACAACAGCAACTAGTCTGAGGTACTTCTCCAATTAAATCACTTAAGACCATCTTTTTTTTTTTTTTTCAAAGGTGATATTAGAGAGACTGGCTAATTATTATTATTATTTTGGTAATAAGCTAATGAAAACATATTTATTGTACTATACAGTGCAATTCTGAAATCAAATTGTTATCACAAGAAAGGACATGAGGCTCCTTGTAATTATGGGGGTAATTTGTATATGGCACTATTCGGACTTGTTCAGATTCTAATGTCATTCATACCGGATCTCCACAACATGGCATGGGTTTCAGTTGTTGCAGCGCTTATGTCCTTTACATACTCATTCATTGGACTAGGACTTGGCATAGCCACAGTCATACGTAAGGCTCATTTTTTTTATCAATATTCTCAATTTTATTTTTGTTTCATTAATTTCAAGCCATCTGAATTCTGATAATTAAAGCAAATTGTTGAAGTTTCATATCAGCTATTGATATAGCCAAAAAAGGGTTATAGGGTCTAAAGCAATTCTCACTTTACAAGCTAGCTTTTGGGGCTTATCGGGTTGAGGTCCAAATTTAATATGGTATCAATGCCTATTATAAATCTGATATTGGACCACCCATTACTGAAAAAGAAAACCTGGTCCCCTAAATTTTTCGGTGCAATTAACCTGGTCTCGTGACTTTTTCAATGCAATATAAAAAAAAATATCAAACTTAACAATTTTTATGTTCTAGATGTCAAATCTTGAGCGATAAGAGTTGTGTTAACTACAGATATAGCTAAATAAAAGCTTATAGAGGCTAAAACAATTCTCACTTACAAGTTAACTTTTTGGATTGAGTTAGGACAAAATAAATAATTTAAGACAAATCATGAAGAAAGGACAATATTAGTATCTTAAAATTCATATCATGCTACTTTATTGGTTCTTAGCACTTTGGTTGCACTGCAGAAAATGGAACAATTATGGGAAGTTTGACAGGAATACCAACAGATAAAATTGCTGACAAATTCTGGTTAATCTTCCAAGCACTTGGTGACATTGCCTTTGCCTATCCATACTCCATTATCCTTCTTGAGATACAGGTAGGTACCTTAACATTTCATATTTAAATTGGATGATTAATACAAGGCAGAAAGAAAATAATTTATAGCTGAAACAAGTATTGAATTTTGTTGATTAAAGGACACTCTAGAGTCTCCTCCACCAGAAAATCAGACCATGAAAAAGGCCTCCATGGTTGCAATATTTATTACAACATTCTTCTACCTATGCTGTGGATGCTTTGGATATGCAGCTTTTGGAAATGATACTCCCGGAAACCTCTTGACAGGGTTTGGATTTTTTGAGCCTTATTGGCTTATTGACCTTGCTAATGCTTGCATCATTCTTCATTTGGTGGGAGGATATCAGGTACTAATAGTGTTAAATATAAAAATTAATATTTTTTTTTATACTAAAACCATTCCTTCTGATTGCTCATAAGAACGAATGTCCAATGGATGAAACAAATAGTATTCATAAGAAAATCACAATTTCAACAGTGCAAGAGATGCACTAGTAAATAACATCAGATGGGACATAATTGGAAAATAGTTCTACTGTCATCTGACATAAACATGTGGTGGTTCACAAAATCCAAGCTATGCTATACTTTTTAATTTTTGTTGTGTACAAAAATTTCTTTGGATTTGATTTAATAGTTTAAGCTATGCTATGTTTGGATTTTCTATGCCTTTGTTTGTTAGTGTTTAACCTATTCCGAGAAGTATAATAAAGTAAATCTTCAATAGAAAATCAATTGTTCTCGAGACATGGAATCTGATTTGTAAACAAATCCAACCACCACTTTTTTTATATTAATTTCCAAGAAAAAATAATTTATGTCCATATTGAGTTCAAATTAAATTAAATCTTATATACTCTTCAATGATTCTAAACATGATTAGATCCCTTAAAAAGTGTATAAAATAAGAAGTAAAAGTCCCTCTACCATTTATTTAAATTGAACTAAGTTTACAAAATACTTCAATTCAAATACAACATAAATATAGACTTATTTTACACTTTTTTTTCACTTCAGAGAATGTTTTTACGGCAATATGTATTCTTTCCTTGTTTTTTCATGTTATCTACCTATCATATTCATATTTCATCTATATATCCTTCTCATCAGATTTACAGCCAACCAATATATAGTGCTGCTGATAGATGGTGTTCAAGAAAATTCCCAAACAGTGGCTTTGTGAATAACTTCTACAAAGTGAAACTACCTTTGCTACCTAGTTTTCAGCTAAATCTTTGGAGGTTCTGTTTTAGAACAGCCTATGTGATTTCAACAACTGGAGTTGCAATCTTATTTCCTTACTTCAACCAAGTTCTTGGAGTGTTAGGAGCTGTAAACTTCTGGCCATTGGCTATATATTTCCCAGTAGAGATGTACTTTGTACAGAAGAAAATTGCACCTTGGAGTAGCAAATGGATTGTTCTAAGAACATTCAGCTTTGCTTGTTTTCTTGTAACAGTAATGGGATTGGTTGGATCACTAGAAGGAATCATACGTGCGAAAATTAACTGAATGGTTTATGCCATTCCCTTGAACAATGCTTACTATGTTAGAGTTTCTAGATTGGTTGCATAATCTTTTGTATAATTCAGTTTAAGGTAGACAGACACATGTATGTTCGGAATCACATTAAAAATCTTATAAACATGAATTCAACGCAGAAATAACTATTAGCATCGAAATAATCATGACTTGATAACATCTAAACATGAATCAAATATGCATATGTGGAGAGTTAGATAGATAAAGGGTACACATTAATGTGTCTTGAAAGTGAATAAGGTGACGCCATGGAATAATACAAGTTTTGTTTGATGCTGAACTCCCTTCAAAGAAGCGAGTTCTAATACATTTGTAGTACATTTGTAGTTTGTTATGGATGTAATTGTAATTCTATTGTATCAAAATATAGATTGTTAATTTTTATATGGTTAAATTAATGTATAAGTGCTTGAATTATTTAGATATTTTAAAACAAATTTATAATTTAAGTGTTTGTAATTAGACAACTAATGTTTTAAATTATTTTTAATTAGGTCTCCAATTACATTTTTATGAGGAATTTTACCAATACTTTCTTTTTAATTCATTTTTCAACACATTTCTTGTAATTGGTTAATTTTTTAAAAAGTGAATTTTTTAAGAAAATAATTAAGTTACAATACTTGTATTTTAACTATTTTAAAAACTAAATCAACCATATGAAATGCATTGTGACTTTTAAAAATAAAAGTCCTTTTCTCTTTTTCTTTCTTTAATTTTTGTTTTATTTTTTTTTCTCTAAATAAATTGAGGACCAAGTTACATATCTCATTACTTATTAGTTCGAAAAATATAATAAATGGTATTATAAAAAATAAAAATAAAAATAAATAAAATACAAAAATATCTAAAGTTTAGAGTGAAACTCTTTTTTTTATATATTATATTCTTACTCAACAAGTGAAAGATTTATCCCTTCTTACATTAAATAATAAAAATTTCACGTTGGTGAGTTAGCAACTGATTAAAATATATAAAAAAATATATAAATTTAAATTATTGAAAATATTTTAAATAAATAAATTATTCAATCTTACAATATACATTCCACTTTAATTTTGAATCAGATCCACGTTGAAAATTTAAGAAGAAAAGGTAGTGTTCTGAAATGAAAGGATGAAAATCAAAGAAGCTTGGTGCATAATTTGACTACTACAAATGAACATATAAGTAAGTCTTGAGTGATGGATATAAAATAGAATAACACTCTAAACTTGTGGGAACCATAGAACATAACTTCAGATTACTCTAATCAGTGAAAGACAGTGATCGGAATCGGTCTTTCAAATTCAATTTATCTAAACTTTTTTAATGATTAAAAGAATGGCAGAGTAAGATCATAAAAAATTTTCTTTATGGATAGTAAAATATAAGTTTATTAATTTTAATTTTTGAAACTTATTTAAAGTATTCTTTTAAAAATATTAATATCAGTTTTTGTATTTTAAAACAATAAATATTTTTTTAATAAAAATATGATTTTTTATATGTTTATGCTAAGTAATTTGTTTACATTAAGTCTTTAAGTGTATTTGATGTAATTTTAATTTTAATTTTCATATATTATTTATATTTAAAACTTATATATTTTTTGTTTAATATAATATAACATATTTTATTAATAATTATGATATTTCCTTTTCAAAATTTATTAAATTTTAAATAAATATTATTGTTATGAAGAGAAAATTTTATTTTAATACACATTAAAATAAATTAATATTTTTTATTTTTATAAATATTATATTAATTTTTATTAAAAATATTAAAATTTGACTTTCTTTCTCTTTTCGAAATCTCATTAATAAACACCACGTAAGGAAAAAATATTCTCATTTGTACAAATAAGGATACAAACATTATTACATTTTTATATTTTAAAAATATAAAAAGGTATTAAACATAATAAGAAAATACTTTTCAGAATATGGTGTCTGTTTTATATCATTAAATATTTGTTGCTTTATTATGAGATATTGTTATAACGATCTTTAATTATATGTTTTAATGTTATAATTGAAATGATACATATTAGGAAAAAACTCACACTAAAAATAATGTTGTATATGTATTTGACTAATATTATATTTTTCAATGAAATGATGTAATGTGATTTATAAATAATATATTAGTGAATTGATTACATTATTACCATCTAGGAAGCATTTAGAAGAATTTATAAAAAGCTTATAAAAGTTAATTTATATTTTTATCTTATTTTAATTTATTAATTTATATATTACTAAAATTATGACATAATTTATATAATAATTTTTTATAAAATAATTATTGAATAAAAGTTTATTTAAACTATTTAGCTAAATACATTTTAATTTTTAGAAGTCTGTTTTTATTATAAGCATTAGATTAAAACGATAATTTGACACATATAAAAAATTATATATTAATTTTATATGAAATGTATATTTTTCTAAGTTAATATAATTATGTCTAATGAATGTTTATTTATTTATTTTTTTTTTCGAGTGATAAGTGTTTAATTATTTTAATAGTGTTTGTTATGATATTCATAAACTTGAAAAGATATTTTATATATTTTTAAAATTAATAGTTATAATATTTTAAATTAAAAATATTTATATATTTCAAATATATTATTAAATCTTATTATCTATTTAAATATTTAATATAGATTTAATAATAATAATTATTCTAAATACTCTCTTAATTCACGAGCTTTAAAAATTACCTTAATTAAATGCGTCTCACAAAAACCTACCAAAAAAAGCTTGTGAAGCAGACGCAGACTCATATTGACTTGATTCAAATGGAAAAGAGGGATAATAATGAAACATCACATCCAAGTAAATTTGACAAAGATGGACCACATTTCTTTTTCTTCAATCATCCTTTTCATTACCTAATTTTGGACTTTCAATTTTTGAATAAGTCAAAGTTGTGCTTCTGTATAAAAAAGAAAATCCTTAAGAAATTAGAAAAAAAAAAATCAACAATAAACTTTTCAGTTTATATGAATATTACTTACCATCCATCGAAAATCTCAATCAAATATATGAAATTTTTTGAGAGAAGGTTGTAGTTGTATTAAATATTCAAAGATTTTTTATTTTTTATTTCTATAATGATCTATCTGATTTGAATAGATGCAATTTAACTTAATAAATTTGTCTTTAATGAAAAAACCATTGTAATCTAAACAAATAAAATACACTTATTAAAATACTTTTTTAAGTATAAGTATTAATATTATTTATTTATTTATTTAATAAAAATTCTTTATCTATATCTTAATTCACGTGTATTTTTTTTATTTTAATTACTTATATTTAAAAATCTTAATTTTTAATTATCTAAATTAAGTCTTTTGACATTAAAATATCATTCAATAATTTAAAATGTTTAATAAAAACAATATATTATTAATTTGTATAAATTACTAAAAAATGTATAAAATATTTGTAAAATAATATTAAAACAAACTAGAAACTAAAGCATTATCCATTGTCTAGTTTGTTTTAATTTTCTCCGTATCTAGTTAAAATTAAACTGAATCACATGAAACATTATCCAACCAAACTAGAAACTAAAGCATCCAAAGGGGTGACAAAAATCTTTTAGCTAAGTTTCTTAGCTATGATTCCTGCAGTGACCCAACTAGGCCCATTACTGTCACAAGAAAGCAAATAAAGCTGAATATTCTGAAAACAATTTTCTACTCCAATGTGCAACTTTCTTCTGCACAAAGTACATCTCTACTACTGGTAAATATATAGCCATGGCCAGAAAATTTATGGCTCCTAACAATCCAAGAAGTTGGTTGAAGTAAAGAAACAATATTGCAACTCCAGTTGTTTGAAATCACATAGACTGTTCTAAACACAACCTAAATAGATTTATCTGAATAGTAGGCAACAGAGGTAGCTTCACTTTGTGGAAGTTATTCACAAAATCACTATTTGGGAATTTTCTTGAATACCATCTATCAGCAGCATTAAATATTGGTTGACTGTAAATCGGATTAATTAGAAGATCATACATATGAAGCAAAAGTATGAATAGCTTGTTAGGTAACAAAAAGAAAGTGAAAATTTTAGTGGTACACAAAACATATCTAGAAGTTGCTTTTAAATCATATGACAACAGAACTACTTTCCATCTAAATCCCTTATGACATATTGGTTTACTCATTTGATGAATAATGATGTTTCATCAATTGACATTACACAAATAAAAAAAACTTCTTACGAGAAATTATAAATCATGGTTTTAGTGTAAAGTAAACTCATTAGTAGCAGCGGAAATAGTACCTGTTATCCTCCCACAAAATGAATTATAATGCAAACATTAGCAAAGGCAACAAACCAAAAATGCTCATAAAACCCAAACCTGTCAAGAGGTTTTCTGTTGAATCATTTCCAAAAGCTGCATATCCATAGCATCCACATAGCATAGACAGAAGAATGTTGTAATGTAGATTGCAAATAGAGGCCTTCTTCATGGTTTGATAGTGTAAATGTCTCATTCATTGTAGATATATATACGAGCAACTCCAACAACAAAAGCACAATTAAACGAGTCGCTTTGCATGAGTAAATAAGTACAATAGTTTTATCGATACGAATTGCATGAATTGTAAATAAAAGTTTTCTCTCTCTTACCATTTCAATTGCACTTGATTCATTCAACTTCTATCGTCATTCTTACGACTCATTAAAAAATTGGAAAAATTTCCAGTGCCCCGTAAGTTGCGCTAACTTAGTTAACAAATATTTTATCGATAAAACAAACAGAGAAAAAATTATTTACAGTTGTACAAATCGTTGACAAATCAAATCATATGGAATCGTATGACTCAAATTGTGAATCACTGAATCATAAAAATGTAATAAATATGGGTTGGCTTGTGTGCATTCTACAAAAACCAAGTAATTCAATTACACGTTTCTGACATATGAATATAATAAGTACGTGGATCCCTCCAGTTTACGTGTTTTGCTTAAGCTAAATTTTACTGGCTTAAGCGAAATATGAGAGGATGGAGTGAATCTTAAATAAATGGGTGCAAAAATTTGACTTAAGCGAACAAGGCACGCTTAAACCAAAAGTATGTTCACTCAAGCAAATTTTATAACAATCAGAAATCCTTTCTGGGTATAACTATTCCTTGTTGTGCTTAGTCGTTGCTTGAAACCCTATGAGTAGTTTCTTTTTCAGTGACAGGATCAGGAGTTCTATAACAATCAGAAAGGAGGCATGAAGAAATATACGTGATAATTGCAAAACAAAACAAGGCAAATGTCCCTCCAATCCATCCTAATTGAGAAGTGTTCCATGCATGCAAGAGATAGAACACCCGAACCAATAACAGCAGTAATGACTTGAGCCACACCACTCCATAAAGTTCCTGGTAGAATTGATGACCACTAATGCTGTTAAAT